GGTGACGGAGGATTCCAAGTGTAGGCTCTGCACAGTGAGGTGGGCGGAAAGCACATGGTATAAAGCTAACTACAAAGGAGCTCCTGGGATTGCATGGCTCCGCTGTGGTCTGAGAACACCCAGCACCTGAGAACCCTCGCTAACCGGCCGAGGCCCGGAGAAGAGCCTGGGGAGGAGCCTAGGGGAGCAGGAAGAAGACTGATGGGCCCTCATGACCTCTTTGCAGAACACTCCCCTCCCAAACAGATGACCGAGAAGCTCTTTGGGCCTGGCCTCCCATCCTAGGTTTAGGACTCCAAGCACAAAGCTTGCTACTTAAGAAGGAGCCGACTGCCACTCGCTGGACAACTTCCCATCTAGTTTTTCATTCTCTATCTGCCATACTATCCTTCCTCCATGAACACTGGGAAGAAATAATCCTTGGCTGAAAAGAAATGTTTTAAGAAAGGGTGTCCCTCAAAGATGTGACTGTGGACTTTACTCTGGAGGAATGGGGCATTCTGAACTCTGCTCAGAGGATCCTGCATAGAGATATGATGCTGGAGATGCACAGGGACCTGGCTCCTTGGGGGAAGACTGCATTCCCCTACATATGAGGACTAGCCTTTGAAATGAATTGCAGGCCCCATTGACTAAGAAATATGAAATGTGCATCTGAGCCAGATGGATTGTGTTTCTGCTCTTTATTTCCCAGGGAAAAAGCTCTATTTTTAAATCAACTTTTTAAAGATATAATTTATATATAAAACACACCCATTCGATGGGTACAGTTTGATGAGTTTTGAAAGATATGTGCATGTGTGTAACCATCACCACAGTCAAGATATAGAACACTGCCATCACCCTCGAAGTTCCTCTGTGCCTCTTTCCAGTCACCCCTCCACCTCTGCCCTCAGGCAACCACTGATCTACTTTCCAAGATTATAGATTAGATTTGCATTGTCTAGGCCAGCCCCGTGGCTTGGTGGTTGAGTGCGCGCGCTCCGATGCTGGTGGCCCGGGTTCGGATCCCGGGCGCGCACCGAGGCACCACTTCTCCGTCCATCCTGAGGCCGAGTCCCACATACAGCAACTAGAAGGATGTGCAGCTATGACATACAACTATCTACTGGGGCTTTGGGGGGAAAAAATAAAAAAAATCTTTAAAAAAAAAAAAAAAAAAGATTTGCGTTGTCTAGAATGTCATAGAAATGGAACCGTACAGTACAGTATGTAACCTCTTGAGTCTGGCTTCTTCCACTTAGCATAATGCTTTTGAAATTCATCCATGTTGTTACATGTTTCAGAAGTTCAGTCGTTTTTATTGCTGCACAGTATTCTGTTGTATGGATGTACCACAATTTGTTTATCCATTCCCCCGCTGATGGACATTTGTTTCCAGTTTTTGATTATTATGAATGAAGCTGCTGTGAACATTCATGTATAAACAAACAAAACTCTGGAATTCTAGGCAGTTCAACAGACAAAGCAGCCTGGCAGATGATAAACTGGTTGCCCCTCTGGGAGGAGGAGGAGTCAAGTAGTTGATGAAGCCAAGTTACCAAGAGCAACTGGTTTTGTAAAAAGCAGCTATAGCCAAAAATGAAAAAATGCCTGTACTGAGCAGAGAGGACTGCTGAGCAGGCATCTTTCAACCTCATGGGAAAAATGGATTGCAACATCATTGGCAGGACAGATTAATATACTTGGTTGTTTTCTTTTGACACAGGCTAAAATTAAGCCAACAGACTCAAACCTATTTTCCTGGCTACTTCAGGATATTTTTCAAGGCCTGTCCAGACAGCAGAGACAAAGAGCTCCATCTCCAAAGTTAGAAAGACTACTGGCTGTGAGACCTTGGGCAGAGATAAATAACCTTGGCAAATGGACATAAAAACACTACCTACCTTAAGGGCTGTCTCTAATGAGAATCTATGTAAATCACTTAGCAAGTGTCTAGCGCATAAGGAGGGCTCAGTAAGCATGAATTAATTTGATAAAAAATCATGTAATACCTTTGACTCACAGTAAAAGAGTCCAAATATATTCCTTAGGAAGTTGGAATATTTTAATGTATTTTTTTCTTTCTAAATTACACTGTGAATTCTCCCAATATTATTTGTATAACCATTGAAGAACTGACAACTTAATCAAAATCTGGTTAGATTTTAGAGGCATATCAACTCAGTCACAAAAGTTCCCAGTGGCTGCAACAGTGGTCCTGGTCCATTTCTTCATGCAGCAGCTGTCTAGTTCCAAAGGTCCTAACAAGTGCTTCTCAAACCAGAAGAATCTCCTCTGCAGTTTGTCACTAAATCTGGTTCATGAGCAGGAGCTGATTCTCGGGGTGTGTGGCCTGGAATCTATTCCCCTGGGCTGTCTCTGGCTCAGGGGTGCCCCCTGCACCTCCAAGTCCTCTAAAAGGGGTCCCTGGGGTGGAGTTGGAGGAGCACCGGTTGCAAGCTGAGGACTTGGGTTTGAATCCTGGCTTTATTGCCCCTACCACCAACACACCCTTTAAGTCTCTTCACTTTCCTCATTTATTTCTCCTGTGGGGTAACAGCATTTACCTCACAAGGCTGTTGCAGAATTACGTGGATGTTAGTGCCAGGACTGTCTCAATAAATGCTTGTGGACCCTGTTAATTCCATATTTTATCTTACAGTCTTTCCTATTTCCCACCATCTCCAAAGACCACTGGCTGCACATAACTCAAATGAAATGGAGCTGTTTTAAGGAGTGATTCAAGCCTCTCCCTGCACTCAATATTGTAAAAACTCGCCTGAACGATCACCTTCCAGGAAAGGGGGGGGGCTCTTTTCGGCCTCACGGGGGCTCAAACCAGCTCTCCTGGGTTTTAAGTGGAAGAGTTAATTCTTGAGTTATTGTAGCCACACGCGTGGGCTTGGTTTCAGTGGTGTCGTTACCCGGAATACGCTTCCCTCCCCTAGGAGACAAGGCTGGGCTCGCTCGCGCTCCCTCCTTTCCCAGGCCAGCCTCCTCCTCTTCCTGCCGGTCCCAGGGGCCCCTCACCTGACCCCACCCCGCGCGGGCAAACCCGGCCGCCGCGGCGCCCATTGGTGGGTTTGCTGCTATTGATTTGTTCCGAGCGCCCTCCTGGCTTCCGGCGCGGGCACCAGGTGCGGGCCGTTTTGCTCCAGGCGCAGACCTTTGCCCTTCCCGGGGCCAGGGCGGATCATCGCAGGCAGCTCGGGCCCCCGCCCACGGGTGGGTGGGTTCCTGGGGCTCCCGCCTGTGCGCAGCCAGAGCCCAGTTGGGTGGAGAGGGACCGACCCCGGGCAGATCCCTGCGAGCTTGCGTCCGCCCGCGCCTTCCCGGCTGGCGTGGAGGATGTGCGAGGGCGGTCGTCCTCCACCCTCGCCTCCTTCTCCTTCTAGTCCCCTCGTTCACACTCCTAGGAACCCCTAGCTGGGAAGAGCCCCTCGGGTGAGTTTCGAAATGGCCGGATGGGTTCGGCGGGGCATTCAAACGCCCGCGTGTTTCTCTCATTGGAGGAGCGCAGGCCCCTCCCGCCGCGAACCAGGGTCTGGCTCAGGGCGAGGCCCAGGTGCCCCATTCCTCGTTTTCCTATTTTTGCTTACAATTAGATTGAACCCAGGTGGCTTCCTACTGTTCTAGAGAAGACTGTTTTTCCTTGTCCACCTTTTCTCCTACAAAAAGGGCGATATTTCCGGAAAAATTCTGCCTTAAAATACTTTAGTGTGTTTACTGCTGCCCGTGTCACACATGACTGTTTTGAAATTGCATCTTTATTGAGGAAGAAGGTAAAAAGCAAACGCTAGCCAGACCTGGGAATTGTTTATTTTGTAAAAGTGATTACTTGGACCTTCTGAATTTTCCTTTATAGTTTTCTTCCTAAATTATAGTTAAAGGAAATGTTATTCTAAGTAGGGCCAAACATAGATGGCGTTTGAGGAAAAACCCAAAAGGTAAAATCAGAGTGTATTTTGTTGGAATGAATGCCACAAAAACACGACTCTCCTTTTCAGTTAGAAACTCTGGCCTATTAATCATTTTGGCTTGTAGTTCCTACTTAGTACTAAGAGGAAAAATCCGGATTCTCATATTTTCTCTCCCCATCCCCTTTTATTTTTCAGTCCAGAGCACTACCACCAGAAGAGAACAAAAGGAAGCCAGTTTTGGGGAAACTCGGCAACCTGTTCACGGCAGGAAGGAGAAGGAACACCAGAAACGGGTTAGAGAGTGCCACCAGTTCAAATGCCAAATCCCTCGCCTCTCCCAAAGATGTAAGCTCTCCCAGACTCCCTGAAAGAGAGAATGAGAAGAGTAAATCTCAGGGCAGCCAACCGGAGCAAACAGACACGTGCGAGGAGGGCTCCCCCCAGGAGCCGGAGGGCGCGCACTCCGAGAGCAGCGTGCAGGCCGCGCCCCCGGACGCCGAGCTGTCACCTTGCTCGAGTAGCCGGTCAGCGGCGGCGGCTGTGCAGCAGTGCCATGAGGGTGATTCAGCCCAGTTAGAACCTCTGGAGGCTGAGGGAGAGACTTGCCCAGATGCCACCATCGCTGCCAAGCAGCTGCATTCCTCACTAGAGAATTCCTCCAGGCAAGAGAACGCAGAGACGCTCGCCCGCAGTCCTGGGGAGGACGCTTCGCCCGGCGCTGGCTGCGAGCAGGAGGCAACCCAGGCTGCGAGGGGGGTGCCGGGGTCGCCCACCGGGGAGCAGCCCGGGGGAGGACAAGCCCCCCGCGTGTGTGCCAAAGGAGGCTCTCTCGAGCCCCAAGACACGTGCAGCCAGTCCCCTGAGGACGCACCTGCACCACCAGGTGACCCTCCCGCCGAGGGCGCAGAGAACTGGGCGAGCTCGGCGCAGGCAAACGGCAAAGCCGGGCCCCGAGGGGGAGACAGCCGACCCGGCGAGCGCGCCCATCCCGCCAAAGTGTTAACTTTGGACATCTACTTGAGGAAGACCGAGGCGGTGCAGGAGGACGAGGCGGTCGTGATTACTCCCGGGGCAGAGGATCGCGGCGACTCCGACGACATGGATAAGAGGTCAGGCGGCCGCCGGTCGGGGAGGCGGAGGAGGTCGCGGAGATCCACCGACTCCCCCGGCGCAGACCCGGCGCTGCCCGACTGCACGGCGAGGGACGACGCGGTGTTCGACGACGAGGTGGCGCCAAACGCGGCCGCCGAGAACGTCTCCGCGGAAAAGAAAGTGAAATCTCCGCGGGCGGCCCCCGACGGGGGCGTTGCCGCGGCTGCGAGCCCGGAGTCCAAGCCCAGCCCCGGCTCCAAAGGGCAGCTCCGAGGGGAGTCGGAGCGGAGCAACCAGCCGCCGCCGGCCTCGTCCCCGACCAAGAGGAGGGGCAGGAGCCGCGTCCCGGAGCCCGGGCCCACCCCGCCCGCCAGCAGCCCGCGGGCTCCCGCCAAGGAGTCTCCACCCAAGAGGGCGCCCGAGCCCGGCCCGGCCGCCAAGGGCGCCCCCGGGGAGAGTGGGGAGGAGGCGGCCCGGGTCATCCCTCGCGAGCTCACGGTCAAGAGCAGCTCGCTGCTGCCGGAGATCAAGCCCGAGCACAAGAGGGGCCTGCTCCCCAACCACTTCGACGGCCGGGGAGAAGGAAGTCGAAGCAGAGAGCTGAGCAGATTGGCCGGAGGTTCTGACGCCGACGGTTTGAAGCCCAGGAACCATTTCGGTGCGGGCCGGTCGACGGTGACCACTAAAGTGACCCTGTAAGTAAATGCAGACTTGGACCGGGCCGAGCTGCGGTGCCAGCAGGCGTGCTGGGCGGCCGCTCCGAGAGGCTCAGGGCACTTGTGGAAGAACTGTCTTGTGCACCGAACTTTCTCTTCTTGCTGAAATTAGGATAGTCAAGGGCTGGCTGGGGAACACGGTTAAGGTTTAAGATGATGACGCATGCGGGAGCTTAGTCGGTTGTTAATTTCTGTTTGATATAAGATTTAAGTTCAATGAATGTAAAAATGAGATCTCTCTTGAGGCACAATGTTTACGTAAATAATAGAAGACTGCATGGCTTGACACGAGCTAATTCTACCCTTTATTCAAAATGTACACTGGCATTCCCGGATAGGACATTCTTAAAACGCATATGCAGTGAATTTGAAAACACGGAGCAAACAGTAATATGTTCAGTGTGACCCAGTAGCTTTGACATGTGTGAGTTGAAGAGAATTCACACAACCTTTTATGGAACTTAGTGCATTATTGGCCTACAGCTTAAAAAATCTCTAATGTCAGTATCTTGATTGCTTCTGCCCCTTTATAATGTTAGAGAGTCTGGTGATATTTTTGCCCCCAGGTTGAAAAGTAATTTTGTGATTAAAATGAAGAAAGATCAGTGCTCTTACTGGGAGACTATTTGCTGAATGAAAAGAACACATTAGAAGGATCAAGTTCAACAAGAGACTGTGACTACTTGCTGTTAAGTTTATTGATTTTTCAAATGTTTACTGAGTACCTACTACACATGGTATTGGGCTAGGAACTATGAGGAAAAAATCACAGCTATGATTCAGTGTATTGCCCTTGAAAAGTTTATGGCCCAGTCTGGCACCCAGGTTGCAGAGAAGTAGCAATATAAGGTGATATCTGATTAAATTGCCCAATGGATGTTACTGTCTGCAGAGGCTGAGGATGTGCAAAGGAGGAAGAAATCACTGCTGGTTTCTTGGAGGATGATGGGACTTGTGCCTTGATGATAAATGTGCCTCATATAGGTGGACAGAATAGGGAAGGCACTCCTTAAAACTCTTAAGATCCCCCCCCCCCAGTCCCACACTCTGACTCATCATCTCCCAGTCAGCACATGTGAAAAACAAACATCTAAACTGCTTAAGTTTTTCCTATATTCACACATTTGTTAAAAGAGCTGGTGATTTTGCAACATTATTGTTGTTAAACTGAATGGTTTCATTCTGACTATTTGAATTCTTGGATAAGTAAGCTTTAGAGTAGGAGGTCTGCTTGGTAAACATTGGAGAGGAAAATCTGATTAATGAATAACTTGAGCTACCTCCCCAGCTGCCAGCCTGGAGACCTTTGATACAGTCAGCTGTTTACTCTGTAACGGCTGCATGCAGAAATTACCTGAGTGAATGATGCCCATTATTTGTAGAAGGCCCCTGTAACTGAACATTCAGACCTCCTCAGTGTGAGCTGAGGAAAGCGTTGCTGTGTACCTAATTAAGGATGCTTGACTTGTCTTCCAATCTGATTACACCAGTGGAAAAACCAGAAATGTTACACTGTTAAGGAGTAGGGTAAACAAACCTTGGGAAGAGGATCTTACCATGAAACTCTTCTTCACGTGCTGTCTCCTGTAATAGAAATAAACCAAATGTCTTTTTCTCAGTACTGATTATTTTCTACCTAAAATTTTTCCTTTGCCAGACACTCAGTTTATTTAATTTTGTTTCTGCAAGGCCTTGCACTTGGTGAATTAATGGAAATGGAAATTTAATAATTCTTTCTAGTCCTTTCACCCATTTCTGTTTGACTGATGGATTTTTTCAGACGCTTTAATTTTTCCTCTGATTGGATTTCAAGTTAAGATGTTACTCAGTTTATTTTTAAAAACAATTTGAGTCTGAAGTTTTAGAGTTAAAACTATTTTATATTCTCTGAAAAATAATAACAGTGAAGCAGCGTGTTTCTTGATGCTGTTAGAAAAATTGTCTTCAGTTCTCTACCAAGTATTGAATGTTGAGATTCTTAAAACGGTATGTTTAGAATAAGGAGAATTTTCCTCTCATATTATAGCCATGGCTGTTTAGACTCAGATTTTCCCCTCTCACATTATAATGAAGGCATTACAACATGAATTATAGGAGCCTTCCTTTTAATCAGTTTGAACTAGGTTAATTGTAGTGACTCTGGGTAGCAGAACTTAATAGCACAGAACGTTTGGTTGTAAAATGTATTTTGATCTTGGTGTACATCTTTAATGTGCAGTCGTGTGTTTCCTGTCCTTAAGGTAGCTTGTTGGCTAATCTGTAGCATTTTCCATTACAATATAAGATATACTTTGATGTCTGACTGTTCCTTGAGATGACTAATGAGAATTTCTTAAATGTATATTCCCTGGTATGTGAACATCCCTCATGAACTGATAGCCATTTGTAAGCTCTCTATTTCTACTCATCTCATTGGTTTTAGAATTTTTTTAAAAATATTTTTATTTATTTATTTTGTGTGGGTGTGTGTGGAAGCTCAGCCCTGAGCTAACATCCATGCTAATCCTCCTCTTTTGCTGAGGAAGACCAGCCCTGAGCTAACATCTATTGCCAATCCTCCTCCTTTTTTCTTTTTTTTCCCCAAAGCCCCAGTAGATAGCCGTATGTCATAGTTGCACACCCTTCTAGTTGCTGTATGTGGGACGCCACCTCAGCATGGCCGGAGAAGCGGTGCGTCGGTGCTCGCCCGGGATCCAAACCCGGGCTCCCAGTAGCGGAGTGTGCGCACCTAAGCGCTAAGCCACGGGGCTGGCCCCTGGTTTTAGAATTTAATCCTTAAGGAAGTGCTTATAAGTTAATTTTGCTTTTAAATTTAAGTCTTCTCATTTTATCCAGAAGGATAAAGTGTCTTACTCAAAGTCATACTGCCTGTTTCCTCAAAAGGCTCCTCAGGCCCAACCTTCTCAAAGGCCAATGAATCCATGGAGGAGAAGCATGAGATGTCAATGCTTCTCCACTTTGTGTTCTCATTATCGAGGTGGCCTCTGAAGTATGATTACTTTATCTTATCAATCTCATTATAATTCATTGACTGAATCATAAAGCTGGAAAGAACCAGAGGAGGTCACTGAGGCAAGTCTAACCTGACTCTACGTGGTGAAGCAGAATAGTGGTGTGGTCGGGAGCATGGCATCTGAAACCAGAACACCTGGCTTCAAATCATGGCCCTGTATCTTACTAGCTGTGTGACTTCAGGCAAATCACTTGCCTTCTCTAGGCCTCAACTTCCTCATCTTAAAAGAGAATGTATAGAACTGTACATTAGGCAAGCCATAGAAAGTGTTTCTTAAGTACTTGGCAATCAGTGAATGTTAGTGGTTATTATCTCTTCCATTTTATGCACCACTAAGCCAATGGCTTAGACATTTTTGTTTCTATTTTTAGCTTTGGAGTCTGTTCTTCTAGGAAAGCTTATACAAAAAGTGATGTATAAAACAGATAAGTAGGAGTAATTCTGGTTGAAAGGAGGGTGGTTGGCCAACAGCCGCATCCCTCAGTCTCTGCTGTCCTCAACTGCAGCCCTTGAAGAGAACAGGTTTCCTTCAGCCATAACTTGGGGAGGAGAGGGGACCAACTCTGTTCTAAACTATCTAGTTTTTGTTTTTTAACAGAAAGAGAAGGTAAAGTCCAGAGAGTTAAAGTAACTTGACCAAGTTCACACAGATAATTGGTGTAAGAGCCAGGACCAGAGTTAGCTAATGCCAAACAGAGAACATTTTATTTCTTAGAAAGAAAACAGTGTGTACATTCAGACACTTAGGATTTCCATTGGGAAATATACCCAAGTATAATTACTTGGGTAATTATACCCAAGAAACGGGAGAGAGAGGGGTGACTCTCTTGGCCCAAAAAGTGATGACAAAATCAATTGAGTAATTGATAAACAAGTTATGGTACATCCATATAATGGACTTTTATGCAGACATTATGAAAACTTTTCAAATAAATTTTTTAGTAACTTGAAAAATATTAAAAATGGTAAGTATAAGGTTAAGCAATCTTTTTCTTTTTTTAAGGCAAGATACCGAACTCTATGAATAGAATCTCAATTCTATTAAAAATATTTCACTAGGCATACAAAAAGAGTAGAAGTATACTAAAATGTTAACAGGGATACTGTTTGAGTGGTAGGATTATGAGTGATTTTTCATTTTTATATTTTCTAAATGTTCTATCGTGTACACACATAAAATCAGAGAAAAATTGTATGCGGGAAGGATGAAGGGAATAAAATATCCAAAGAGGTAAATAATAGATAAATATTTTTTATAATCTAGCCATTTGAGATAATGTAAAAAAAAAAAGTTATGATAAAAAAATAGACAAGTGATGTTTGGGGAGATCATTTATGTACTTAAAGTATGAGAGTGCATTAAATATTTAAATTTGTTCTAATGTTCTTCAGGCCCTAAGATGTCTTCCAACTTTAATGCTAAACACTGTGCTTACATACTATAGGTACTCAATAAACTTATTAACCTTGCACCTCTAGACATTCTTTTTTTTTTGATTTTTTTTTTTTTTTTGTGAGGGAGATCAGCCCTGAGCTAACATCTGTGCTAATCCTCCTCTTTTTCTGAGGAAGACCGGCTCTGAGCTAACATCTATTGCCAAGCCTCCTCCTTTGTTTTTTTCTTCCCCAAAGCCCCGGTAGATAGCTGTATGTCATAGTTGCACATCCTTCTAGTTGCTGTATGTGGGATGCGGCCTCAGCATGGCCGGAGAAGCGGTGCATCGGTGCACGCCTGGGATCCGAACCTGGGCCGCCAGTAGCAGAGCGCGTGCACTTAACCGCTAAGCCACCGGGCCGGCCCCTAGACATTCTTAACTATACAATTTTCTCATCCTTCATCCAGAAGCAAAACATCCATTAAAAATAGTTGATAGGGTATTTAGGATTGTCCAAAAATTGTTTCATAAAAAAAATTGTTATATACCAGAAAGATGATGGCTCTTCATTTTTCTGTATTAAATTGATATGTTCACTTTTTAAAACTAGGTCAATAACTTTATCTTACTGCTTTATTCTTGCAGCCCTGCCAAGCCCAAACATGTGGAACTAAATCTTAAAACTGCTAAGAATTTTGACAGTTTGGGAAATGAGCATAATCCATTTAGCCAGCCAGTTCATAAAGGAAACACTGCCACTAAAATCTCCTTATTTGAAAACAAACGGGCCAACAGTAGCCCAAGACACATTGACATTCGAGGCACAAGGAACACTCCTGCCTCTAATAAAACATTTGTTGGGAGGGCAAAGCTGAATTTAGCCAAAAAATCCAAGGAAATGGAGCAACTTGAAAAGAAAGTAGTGCCAAACAGTCACCAGAATGGTGAGCTGGTGAAGGAAACCTCTGCAGAAACCAAAGTTACTCTCCCTGAAGAGGAGATTCTACCATCGACGGAGAGTCCCGGTGTAAAAGGAATGGAAGGCGAGCCTACCGAGGGTCTACCTCTTGCTTCTCAGCTTAACCAAAGTGACAAAGCAGATGTGCAAACAGATGCTGGCTGCCCTTCCGAACCAGTGGTTACTGCTCTGATTCCTGATAAGGACCATAAGCTCTTAGGAGAGGATGAGGCAAAGGCTGCTGACAGCAAAAGACTTGCACTTGAAAATATGACTGATACACCACAAGACATCCCCGCCATTCTTGATACAAAAGATTCACCTCCAACAGCCACATCAAAGCTACAGGATACATTTTCTGACTCCCAGCCCCCAGCCGAGTCCTCTAATGGGCCTTCTCTTCCACTGCCTGCACCCATTCCTGTGGATGTTCCCGAAGATGCCTGTGCTCAGGCTCCCATAAGCAATTTTCCATGCACTGATCTAAAAGTGTCAGAAAACCATAATGGAAGTATTTTGCCTGTGTCTCATCAGAACAATGAGGAAATGCCCTGCTCCAAAGTTGCAGAGGAAGGAGAAGGAGGAGAAGCAAGCCCTTCTTTGTCTACAGAGCACAGCCCAGAAGCTGTGGGAAATGAGTGTCCATCCAAGGTCCTTGTCCAGGTCAGGTCCTTCGTGCTCCCCATGGAGAGCACCCAGGATGTCAGCTCCCAGCTCATCTCAGATGGCTCTGAAGTTAAAGAAGTGCAGTTGCCAAGTTGTCACAATAATGAACTTGAAGTGGTTTCCGTTGCAAGCTCTGCTCCCCAGAAAAAGGAAGAACTGGGCAATGAGAGCACGTCCCCCACAGACATGCACTGCAAAGAGGAACATGTAGCAAAATCTGGCCCACAAGTCATGCCACCAGAAGCAGAGAAAACTCTACCTATCCAGGCTGAAAGTCGGGGCGACAGAAAACCCCCGAAGGCTGAATCCAGCCCCACCAACTCCGCTGGCAGCAGAAATCATTTAGAAACCCCTCAAAGACCAGATCAAAATGTTGTGAATGGTCAGGACAGCCCTGCCAGTCTTTTGAACATTTCTGCTGGTAGTGATGATAGTGTGTTTGACTCTTCTTCTGATATGGAGAAATTCACTGAAATCATAAAAAAGATGGATAGCGCAGTTTGTATGCCCCAGAAGAAAAAGAAGCCCAGGGTGCCAAACTCTCCTGCCCCTCACTTTGCCATGCCTCCTATTCATGAGGACAATTTAGAAAAGGTGTTTGATCCCAACGTGTTTACCTTTGGTTTGGGGAAGAAAAAGGAAAGCCAGCAGGAAATGTCGCCGGCTTTACAGCTGATGCAGAAACTTGACCCAAAATCCAAACTGAGGCCCAAACGTTTGTCCACTGAACAGAGTGTCCTCATCAAGTCCTTGCACACCCCCACGAATGGGAAAGATGAACCTCTGGTGGCTCCAGAAATAAATGACAAAGAGAACAGGGATGTCACAAACGGTGGGGTTAAGAGATCTAGGCTTGAAAAAAGTGCCCTTTTCTCAAGCATGTTATCTTCTTTACCACAAGACAAAATCTTTTCTCCCTCTGTGACATCAGTCAATACCATGACCACATCTTTCAGCACTTCTCAAAGCAGTTCTCTTTCTCGGTCTTCCGTGTTACAGCCCATGGCCGAGGGTGCCCCACCCTGCGATTCAGAAAAAGATCAGCCAAACCTTCCACCCAGCAACTTAAAGGTCTTCAATTTCAACTCCTCAAATACATCTCATTCGGGTTTGAAAAGTCCAAGCTACATGGAAAAATACCTGCAAAAAGAGGAAACCAAAAAAGATCTGGATTCACGAAGTAACCTTCCCTTGCCAGAAACTAAATTTTCTGAATTTTCAAAACTGAAGAACAATGATGATACGGAAAAGGCTAATCATATTGAAAGTGTTCTTAAATCTAACTTGCCGACCTATGGAAACAGTGACACAGACTTCACGGGTCTTTTCAAATCCAGCCGGTTTGACCCAAACATTTCTTTTTCTGGATTGTCATTATCAGATACAACAGTAAGTAGCAACATTTATCATTTATTTGGGGTATTTTAAAGTCAGAGGAGAAAGGGACAATGAGCAATTCATGTTATTCTCTTAAAATGGTTATGCTTGTGTATGATAGTTTTCATTCATCACATATTTGGAAACCTACTATGTACAAGGGACTGTTAGGGTCTAAGAAAAAAGGTACTAAGATTCTGTTCTCAAGGCATTCATAGTCTAGCAGGAAAAATAAGCTACAAATATTTTAAAGCACTTGTGAATTTATACGTTGTATTATGAAAGATATAGATAAGGCACCTTGAGAATTCAGAGACAGACAAGTTGTTTTTTCTTACCTAGTTCTGCATAAGAATGCTCAATACTTAGAATGCTTAGAATTGTGAAGATTTATGAAGCAGCTTCTATTTGGAAAAGCCTCACCGAGGAATCTTTTTTCTTCTCTTATGCTGTGAGATTCACTCTTTCTTCCTATAAGTAGCAATAAATATTTATCCTATGCAGCTGAGAAAGTATTGTCTCTTTATTTGGAATTAGTTTTCATCAGGGAAATATTTTTTCCTGTAAAGCTGTTGGGGAGTAAAGAATTCTGGTCTCCATTGGATCTTTCCTTTAATATTGTAGAGAGGAGAGTAAAATATGATTTGAGAAACAATTATGATTTTTCCATCTTCTTTCATCTGACTGCTAGAAGTTGTTTTCTTGACTCAGTTTTTGATGTGAATTTGTGCCTTTCTGTTACCAAGCTTGATAATCAAGTTGAGGGAGGACAATGAAAGATGAAGGCAGAATATAAGGTGTAGAGTTCAGCTTGGCTAAGCCCAGAAACAGGCAGGGACCTGTGTATTCCTGTTGCCCACCTCGTGAACCAGGCTGTCTGGCAAGGGTAGGCCATCATCCAACATGCTTTATCCAGGCAAAAAGTATCTTCACCCTTCTTCATTTGCACAAAGCACTGCAGAATGTTGCTCTTTTGTTGTATTGACTTTTGCTACAAGTCTGTCATAGGATGTCATTTTGGAAACTCTTTCAAAATGCATGGCTGAGTTTCCAGCAGAGGCTCAGATCTCTCTTTTCAAAAGTTTTCAAACTTTTTGGTCTCAGGATGCTTTTATATTTAAAAATTATTGAGGACCCCAAAGAGCTTTTGTTCATATGGGTTATGCCTATTATAATTTATTATTTTAGAAATTAATACTGAGAAAAACTTAAAACAGAATACATAAGTGCACATTCCCTTAGCCATCAGAGCAATAATATCATCACATATCATGGACCCTCTGGAAAATTCCACCCTACACTTGTGAGAGAAAGATAGTGAAAAAGGCAAATACCCTTTTCTTATTATGAAAATAGTTTTGATCTCATGGACTTCCTGAAAGGATCTTGAGGACCCTCCAGGGATCCCTGGACCACACTTTTGAGAACCACTGCTATAAACAAACAAAACGGAATCGGCCTACAGCATTCAGAAATCATAAGATTTTTAAGTATTTCTCTCAAGCACAAAATTTCCACTGGTCCACTTCCCATTCATTATAGCCTTATTCTCTCTTTTTAATCATTCTTAGATCCCTTCTCTTATTTGACAATACTCTGATGAGTCTGACAACAGAATATACAGTTTCCCTATGGAGTCCCTTGAAAAACCAAGCCAAATGGAGTGAAAAAGAGAAACAAAGTGATTTATACATGTTCTAGGCCTTTTTATGATTAAAAAAATTTTTGTTTGTTTTTCCTTAGGTCTTGGGCTTTGTTGACTATATAACTGTTCTCTTTAATGTCTTACCTGAATTTTGTTTTAAATTTCAGGCTTTTTCTTCCACTTACCTACTTTTATTGTGTATACATAAATAAGTATATGCCATTTTGATTTCTAACAATGCTCTCCTAAGGCCTTCTATGGTCTTTCGGGCATCTTCCGCTCTGGTGTGATTCAAGAACGATCAGATCAAAGGCAGTCCTTAGAACAGGCATTCTGGTCAGCATTGAAAGTAGAAAGGCAGTCCTTAGAACAGGCATTCTGGTCAGCATTGAAAGTAGTCACATTTTATAATATTTTTACGTGTATAATTACTATTTTTATTATCTTATGCATATCTGGTTTTACTGGTCTTGTCAGATGGTCTTGAAAATGATTAGTTTTGCAGCCATATAAAAATGTATTTTGTCCATCAAAAAGGGAGGGATTAAATATACTATGTGTAATGTACATTCTGAAATACACCATATACGCTTTTTTATTTAGACTAGTCGTTGTTATGTGATGGTAGATGTTACTATGACAAACAATATTTATAGATTCAGATAAGGTGTGTCTATGAACATATAAAATTGATTCAGTTCATTATAGATAAGTGATTAGTACATTATAATTTCTCTTTGTTTACTTGAGATTATACTGAGATTGAATTACAGTCTATTAGTTGAGTTCTTGTTCTGTGAACTGACAAACAGAGGTCTGATTCTCCGGCCCTGGATTCTCTAGGTTGGTGGAGATATCCTAGGCATTTAAATGAGGAGAAATTGAAATGGCAAATTCAGTTAGAGGGAAAAAAGTTCTTTATTTAACAGTATACACTCAAAGAGAGTTTTCATACAACTTTGGCATAGATCAAGGTGGATATGTTTCATAGTTGATAAATTGTGAGGCAAATACGATCTTACTTAAAGGATCATGGGAGGAGAAAGGAGGACTGTTACACAAGTGTAATTATTTGTTGTGGTTTTGTTCATCTGATTACAGACACTTAGAGGAAGTGTCCAAAATAAAATCAATCCCCGGCCTGGAAAGGTAAGATTTTTTCTATTTCTAGTCTAGTTCTATTTCTAGTCTAGATTCTATTTGGTCTGATAACGTACGTCGACACGTGCCACCACTCTGGTTTTCCTGCAGCTGGTGATATATAGTGAACCAGAGGTCTCTGAAGCGTGCATTGAAGTTTTCAGTGACATGCAGGATTGCAGCTCTTGGAGCCTCTCTCCCGTCATCCTCGTCAAAGTCGTCAGAGGATGGTAAGAATGGCACTTTGAGCTCCTGACCTATAGGACCTGTGTTTTACATTTAATTGTTTTATATTTAATTACCTTGTTGGTCTTCAGTACTTATTTAAAATTAAGCCTTTAGCAATGTAAAGGGCAGAAGATACTAGTCATAGTGAGTATTAAAAGGAATTCATATCTAAGAAATGTGGTTTTTAATCATGTTTCTGATTATTGGGATGATACATGTTTATGCTAGAAAAATCAGAAAAGTGCAGCAGTACAGGTTTCTTTTTCCCATATATCCCCATATAACATTGGTTTGGACTAATGAACACCAGAGTCCATAATATCCTTTTGGTTTATGAGTTTTCAGTGAGGTTGGTAAGAATTGCACTAGTCATGTTGATAGGCCATGTACTAGTCATGTTGATAGAATTTTTTAAATTCTATAAGAAAAGACATCTTTGCTAACTTTTTAATGACAATTCAGTGAGGGACTAACCTAAAATTTATTTTCCAACTTTATGACAACAGATAGTTTGGAGTAAGTAAAGAAACTGGTGAAAAAATTACTTAACTAGCTTAATTGCTTTAAGGAAATACACAGGAAGTCGAATAAAGAGAAGCAGTTTAAAAAAAAAAACCACTTACCTGGCATAAATACTTATCTTTGGTATCTATTTATAAACTTGCTTGAAAGAAAGAGGGTAGGGCTCTAGATATTTATGGTTTAAAAAATTAATAAGCTTTTCTTCTCCCTTTGATTAAATATGTACGTCTTATTAGGTTTTAGATGTTTTAATATATTTTTCTATGTATTCAACATATTCATTAGAAAAATACAATTAGCTTTTGTTCTTAAATTTGAAGACTGAAAATTACACTAAAAACAAACTTTGTATAACAATTTTGTTTTGAATAGAATAGTACTTCTTTCTTTTGCAACTTTTATTCGCATCTCTCTTCTTGAAAGCATAAGCATTTATAAGCCACACTGTCATATATTGACATGAGGTTTTTCTTTAGTGTTTGATGTTGTTGGGAAGGATATTTTTACAATGCCTTCTGGGTCACTAAAGTTAACAATACTGTATTGTATATTTGAAAGTTGCTAAGAGAGTAGATCTTAAAAATTCTCATCACACAAAAAACTTTGTAACTATGTGAGGTGATGGTTGTTAACTAAACTTATTGTGGTGATCATTTCACAATATCTACAAGTATCAAATCATCATATTGTACACCTAAAACTAATACAATGTTATGTGTCAGTTGTATCTCAATAAAACAGGAAAAAAACCTTTTGTTAACATGCATATTGTCCTTTGTATCAGTATATCCATTGATATGGCTCTAATATATAAGTTAAAATCCTCCTAAGAGGAGTATTTTCTATACATATAAGAAGAAAAAAACATTGCAGATAAGTCCATTTCTCTGATGTATTAACCATTTTCAAGTCTCCACTAACTGGCAGTTGCATAAAACATTATTAGTTCTATGACGTTCATATTGATAGCCAAAAGTTCTTTAAGATCCTGATAGAGTTCTTCAATCATCAGAGGCTTAATTATGCCCAGTAAAGTTTTAGTTTTAGGGAGAGTTTATACAATTTTAATTGCTAGAGAATTGGTCACTAATATACAATATATATAGGGGCTGTGAGCCAGAATATTTGAGTAATCAAAACCTTTCTCACCAAGACTGGCTAATAGTTTTGCTGTGTTTTATTCTTAGTTGGATTTTGTATGAGAAACCAAATTTTGAAGGGCACTCCATCCCTTTAGAAGAAGGAGAATTGGAACTGTCTGGTCTCTGGGGTATAGAGGATGTTTTGGAAAGAAACGACGAGGCAGAGTCTGCTCAGCCCGTGGTGATTGGTTCAGTGAGACTTGTGGTCCAGGTAGGTTTAAAACTAGTAAACTGTTAATAAGGGAAAACTGAATTTCATCCATATATTAAGCAAATATTTGTTGAATGCCAGGGGTGATTCTTTTGGGAGAAAGGTGCATTTTATGAAATAAGTGATTGGGAAAAATAGTTGGTGCTTTATGGATGTATTTTCTATCATTTAAGTATATGTACACCTTAAATGAATTAGAAAAGAAACATTCTAGTTGGTTAGCCATTTTTTTCACAATATATCCTGAAGGTGAATTTCTCACTTCTGGCCCCCATTCCCATCTCCAAATGTATTTTACTTAATAACTTAGTTTTGATGAGTTCTGTATGAACAGATTTTTCTTTTATTTAGTTTTTTGGTTGCTGTGTGAGTTCTGATTACTTTGAGTGGCTTACAGGAGTTCTATTTTGGAACAATAAATAATCCAAAAGTAATTTAGTTGATAGTTCAACTCTGGAGTTTCATGTAGGTTTAAAAAATAGGTATTTGAAGCCACTTTATGGATTGGATAAAATTTCTTGGTTCCTCATTTGTTGGTGAGGAGGTTGTATCAGAGTCTTTCTTTGTGGCTCTTGGGATTTGATTTACCTTTGAAAAATGTAAAAGGTATCTTCCAAGTGGAAGATTAAAATTCCGTTTGTGTAATAGAGATGGGCATTGGGGTGCAGTAGGGAGAAAAGGAATGCTCTAAAATGAGAATGAGTAAGAACGAGCAGCAAGTTTTGGCAGAGGAAAAAGTCACCTGTTTCCTAGGGCAACATTTTTGAGTGACTTAGATGGTAATTGGTATTCTAAATGATTTATCTCTTAATAGTTTTTCAGTACATAATGTGGTAAACCTCATATAAGACATGAAGAACCCACTTAAAAATGTCATGGTTAGTCGAATAATTTACCTGCAGTTTTTATTTATTGCCCAAATAATGTTGGTGATAAAGCAATGTTTAAAAATATCGTCATCCAAATCCCACCTATCATGAAGTATCCTCCCTTCATTTTTCTGAATTCTCTACTCTTTCTTGGCCATACTCTAATCTGCTCTTTCTGTAGTTATAATCATGATACAGATACAATGTTATTTTCCTTTCTTTACTTAAAACTGTGGTTCTCAATCCTTTTTCTCCATGCCATTTTCCTGAAGATCCCACTCCCATGTCGGTAACATCTGTCAATGATTTGCAACTGGAGGAGGTATCAGAATCTGGGGGGGTGAGGATTCAGAGGCTTCCAGGAAGGTGGGGGATGGGAAATGAAGCACTTTGGGAAAGAGGCCTCCTGTTTTGCCTGGTGATAGCAGACCTAATGCGGTTAACACTTTCATGTTATTACATAGTTTGGAGTTTAACTGAGCATCATATTCCACTGATATGATGTGCTGTCGTTTATTTTACCTGTCTTCTTTCTGTGGAACTCAAGGTTGCTTCTAGTTTTTTACTGCTATTTTAAATAATGCTGCATGAACATTTTTGTGAGTTTAATAATTTATAATTTTCTGACTTATTTCCTTGGGGTAAATTTTTCTGAACGGTGTCATGTTAAAGGGTAGGAACGCTTTTATGCTCCTGTTACATTATGAATTACATTTTTTTTACAGATGGCGTGTATGGTTTCTTGAGAGATGAACATAAGTCACAACATATATTCAAGGGGGTCACCTTTTTAGTTCATTAAATTTGTTCCTTTTGGTACTTTTTGAAAGAACTGACCCAGTATTATCATTTCTTCTATACCTTATGTCACCTGGCTCAGCAATATAGAAGAGGTTCAATAAATATTCCATTAGCGCTTAGGCACTCAATCAGAAGTCTTTTGAGGAGTGTTTGATGGACCATAGACACGCAGGGCATGGGATAGCCACCAAAGCGCAGAGATTTGTAAATTGCCATAAATGTGTGCCTTTGCCTTTACGACTTAGACCAAACCAACATCCTAGAGGTTTAGTCATAGTCAAGGCACGTTACCACAGGGGGCTTTGGGCACCAAACAACAGTTGAGGAGCCACTCTATAGACTAGAGTCTCTGGACACAGGTCAGAGGGTCACAGGATAGCAAAGGAACTAACACTGTCACCAAGGAAAGCCAAGAAGTTTTTTTCAGTGAGGATGGTAGAAATAACTACGTTCCAAAATTCTAATAAAATACATTTCTGGTGATCTTTGCTCGAATGTAACCCTGAGATGTATGACTAAAGCAATGTGACTGCCCCAAAAGACCACATATTATTCAGTCATGGGTGAAAACAGGAGAGGGATAAAATGGCAGGTGCTCTGTAAAATGTATGTGTATATTTAAAGCTTATTTTAACTATTTGAAGAAAAGAATAATGAGCTTACTGCAGAGTTAAATATGTGGTGTAATTATTATTATATATGTACATATGTTGTTTTTTTTCAGGATTATAGAGTTAGTCAAATTGACTTATTTACTGAACCAGAAGGGCTAGGACTCCTAAATTCCTACTTTGATGATACTGAAGAAATGCAGGGGTTTGGTGTAATGCAGAAGACTTGTTCCATTAAAGTACATTGGGGCACGTAAGTATTTGATTTCAAATACACTTTTAATGAAGCTTTTTTTTGTGAGTATAGTGCTGGAAAGAGGACTTAAGATGTTCTGTCTCGGATTTGTTGTCCTGTTAAGTAATTCATGACTAAAAGGTTTTCTTTTTTTTTAAGAAGGCACATAAAATTCTGATTTTTTTGTACCTTATGTTAGTATGATTCAGCTTTCTTAGAAACAATAACGATTTCTTGGAGGAAGTGCAGGGGAAAATTATGCGTTTTTAATGTAGGCATTTCCTTATCACAGAGGCACCCAATTCATTGAAAGCTGAGTAGCAGATTATAACTTCATGGCAACTCAAAGGAAGTAATTCAAAGCATGTGCCCCTGATATTTCAGGTGGGCTGGAGGCCAACACACATGCTGCTTCCTTTCACATTTTCAGACAATTTTGTCCAGAGCCCCTAGGATATTGGTTTCACAAATCACAGGAAACTGCAGGAGTATTTTGAAGGAAATGGGAGTATCTCAGATAGGGGAGAAATTAGGATGGAAAAGTACAGGCTGCAAAACTGAAGATTGTGGTCTCTGAAGTAGAGGGCACAGCCTAAGGCATGTGCAAGACATCCACTGAGATGTAGGAAAAAACACTAACGCTTCTTTATATTTTATTTAAAATCTCTTCCTTTTAAGATTTTATTTTTGCGTACGTTTTCTAATGAATTCATAATATATTCAGTGGTAATATATATAATTTATAAGTATTCGTATACTCAGAGACTGCTCAAAATCTTTTTATTAGTGGGATATGCCTAAGATAATACATATGTAATGTGTTCGATGGTAAATACTACAGAAACGTAAATTAGAGAGAGGGACAGCAAAAGTGCTATTTTAGGGAGAGGTCAGGAAAGTCTCTGGTGACGTTCTAGCAGAGACCTGAAGGAAGGGAGGGAGTCAGCCACGGGGATATCTGAGGGAGGAGGGGCAGGGAGCACGCAGTTGCAAAGCCCTGCGGGCGTGTTTGGGCAACAGCTGGGAGATCAAGGTGGCTGGAGTGGTGGAGCTAGGAGGGCGGTGAGGGGAGGGAGGCCTCCTGTCAGACCTTTCAGGACTTGGGAGGGATTTTATTACTCCAAGTGACATGGGAAATCATTGGAGGATTTTGATCCATCTTGTGATTTAGGAGGATCACTCTAGTGATCTGTAGAAAATAGACTGTAAGGAGGTAAGGATGGAAGCAAAGAAACCAGTTAGGAGGCAATTGCAATTATATAGGCATGAGGTTTTGGGGGCTTTGCAGGATAGTGGTGGTGGAAAATGCTCAGATTCTGGATACATTTTGAAGGTTGAACTGACAATATTTGCAGACAGATTGTATGAGGTGCTGAGAAATGTCCAGGGTTTGGGACCCCAGCGTTTATTGGGCTGGAGAAAACCTTGGAAGAGCAGGTTAAGAGGGAGAGTGAAATCCAGGTGTTCAGTTTGGAGAGGTTCAGCTGGAGATGCCAACTGCACATTCCAGTAAGGGGGTGGGAACGTGATTGGATATGTGAGACTGGAATTCAGCAGGGAGGCCGGAGGTAGGAATTTAGGAGTCATCAGCCTGGAGAAGGTATTAAAATCGCACTGGATGAAATCTCAGAGGGAGTGAGTGTGAAGAGCAGAGAAGCCATCTGAGCCTTGGACACTTTTAGATTTAGCGATTGGGAAGAAAAGAAGGAATCTTTTCAAAAGGAAATGTCTTCATCTCTTGCTGCCTTTAATTTTGTCACATCAAAGAGATCTATATATCTTTCTTCTTGAAACTGAAAAATACCACTTTCCTTAGAAAAGAAAATAGGTGACTGCCATAATATTTTAATCTCACTGTCTGAAAGGTTTCATGACTCAGGCGTGGAATTGAACTACAATGAGTTACACCTAAATAATGTTTCTTATCTTTACAGTAAGTTTAACTTTGTCTCATAGGTGGTAGTTATAAACATGCTATAGCTTACAATTTACAATGGGCTTGCCTGACAGATGGATATTTTTTTCCTGGCTGTACATTTCTGTTGCCGTTAGGATAAAAGCAAGCTGCTTTGGATGTCAATTCAAGGTTGGGGCTCATTGAACTTGGTTGGTCAGCTTTGGAACGAGGTCTTTAGTACTTTTACAGATCTCCACGGGGAGTTTTGATGGGTGGGGAGAATTCAGCTCATTACAAATACTTGAGCTCATTTTGCTTCTGTTAGTGCACCAGGCTCCTGGACTGGGGTAAGAGAAGTCTTTGCTGTGGGGGGACTATTTCAGATTCCATTAGGAGATTTATTCCAGGGCCTGTTCACTCTGGATTAGGCTCTTCTACACAAACACAAAATAAGGGTATTACTTGTCAAATTCTTATTTGGGAAAATGAGTAATTTCAAACTAAATTTGCCTTTCAGATTCTGTTGAGTGTAATTTGCTTTTACACCTTTGTTTTAAGCAGCTAGCTAATGCTGGCATCCTCATCCTCCCAGAGGTGAGGGTGTATCTTTTTTCTTTTTTTTTTGTATATTTCTAATAAACAAAAACAAGGAATTTTAGAACTTCAAAGGGAACATAAAAAGCATCTGTTCCAACACCATCATTTAACCCAGAAAAACAGGCCTTGGTCACTTGCTCAAGTTGGATTAGTTGTTAGAAGAACAGGTACTAGCATGCAGGTGTTCTGAAGTCAAGGGACTTTTTTTTTTTTTTTTTTTTTTTTTGCTGAGGAAGGTTCACCCTGAGCTAACACCTGTGCCAGTCTTCCTCTATTTTGTATGTGGTTCACTGCCACAGCCTGGCTGCTGACAAGTGGTGTAGTTCCGTGCCCAGGAACTGAATCCGGAGCTGCCAAAGTGGAGCGTGCTGAACTTAACCATTAGGCCACAGGGCCGGCCCCAAGGGATATTTTTGAATAGCCAAATATTCTTGCATCAGTTTTATTATGAAATATTTGATATATACAGAATATATGTGTATATATGAATTAAGAAGACTAGTAATAAAACAAGGGCCTGTGTGCCCACCACCCAACTTATGACCTCACCATTACCAGCACTGCCACAGCACCCTGGGTAGCCCACCCTGGTCCCATCCCCCTGACTCCTCCACACATATAACCCCTCTCTGGAATTTTGTGTTTTTCTCATTCCCTTATTTTATAGTTCAACCCTACAGTGTCTGTCCCTGCAATATCTTAGCTATGCTTGCTTTTGAACTTTTAAAAATGTTATCAAATTTCTCTGTGGCTTGCTCTTCTTTCTCTATATTATTTCTAAGATTACCCATATTGGTGAGCATTTGTTGTTAGTGCTGTGGAGTCAATTCTGACTCCGAGCAACTATGTGTACAGCAGGGTGGAACCCCGCTTGGTCTTTTTGTGCCATCCTCTCACCTTCTGGTGCTCCACTGCTTTCACAGGGTTTTTATGGCCAAGTCCTTCTTCCTAGTCTGTCTTAGTCTGGAAGCTCTGCTGAAACCTGTCCACCATGGGTGACCTGCTGGTATTTAAATTACCAGTGGCATAGCTTTCAGCATCATAGCAACACGCAGCCGCCACAGTATGACAACCGATAGACGAGTGTTGTGATTCTCTGACTGGGAAATGAACCCGAGTCGTGGCAGTGAGAGTGCTGAATCTTAACCGCTAGACCACCAGGGTTGGCTATTGATGAGCATATCTGTATTTTATTCTTTTTTCATTGCTATATAATATTCACTGTGTATATTTTTTTGTGGCATATACCATATCAGAGCCTAACTTTTTATTATGAAAGTTTTCAGACAACAAAGTAGAAAGACTAGTTCAGTGAACACCCATATAACACCCATATGCCCTCCACTTAGATTCAATAATTATTAACATTTTGCCATATTTGCTTTATCTTTTTTTTCTGAGCACTTGAAAGCAGTTGCAGATAACATGACCCTTCATTCCTATGTACTTCAGCCTGAATCTCTTTATAATGACATTCTCTTGTGTAACTGTCATTATCACACCTAAGAAAATAACAATATGTCCATAATAATATCTATAGCCCATAACCAAATTTTCCCAATTGTCTCAGGAATGCCTTTTATGGATTTTTTTTTTCTGATCAGGATGCAGTCAAGGTTCATATAAATATATTTGGTTGTTCTGCCTCTTTTAGTCTCTTTTAATTTCTAAAGTAGCCCCATCTTTGTTTCCCATGCCACTGATTTTTTGAAAAATTTAAGTCAGCTGTCTTAGAGAATGTGCCACATTCTGGATTTGTCTGAGTGTTTCCTTGTGACATCATTAACCTGTTCCTCTATCACCTGCATTTTCTATATATTAGGGGTTAGGTCTAGAAGTACGATCAGATGCAGATTGAATGGTTCTGGAAAGGAGGCTATATAGGTAGGTAGGTATAGGTAGTACCATATGTTCATGTTGCATCACACAAGGTGGCACGTGCTAACCAGCTTCCCATGAAGATACAGAGTTTGATTGCTTGGTTAAAGCATCTCCCCATTGTAAAGGTACATCTTCCCCTTTGAGATTCATAGCTCACCCTCTTTTGAATAACCTCAAAGTCCTCACGTTCATAGTTAATCTTTTGAGCATCCAGTTGGTTTCTGTAAATAGCCAACATTCACGTGGAGCCATGTCTGGAGAATAAGACTTAGGATCCAGCTGGAAATCTGTTTTAGGTTTAAGAACAAGTGAACAAGAAAAGACCAATTTTCCTTGTGTGATTCAGAGTATTTCTTTTTTTTTTGGTCCACTCTTTTTTTTTTTTTTGTGAGAAAGATCAGCCCTGAGCTAACATCCATGCTAATCCCCCTCTTTTTGCTGAGGAAGACCGGCTCTGAGCTAACATCTATTGCCAATCCTCCTCCTTTTTTTTACCCCAAAGCCCCAGTAAATAGTAGTATGTCACAGTTGCACATCCTTCTAGTTGCTGTACGTGGGACGCGGCCTCAGCATGGCCGGACAAGCGGTGCGTTGGTGCGTGCCCGGGATCCGAACCCAGGCCGCCAGTAGCGGAGTGCACGCACTTAACCACTAAGCCACGGGGCCGGCCCTGATTCAGAGTATTTCTATAAGAGTAATTACACAAATGTTTTTAATAAATGTATGATGGCCATTGTTATTACTTCAGCAATATTCATGCGTATGTGTACATTTGTTATGTTTGTTTTTTTAAAAAGCTCCTACTTTATGGTCGTGCTGGCTATTCATAATATAGGCAAAAGCCCATTACCTCAGTCCATAGGAAAATAAAAGAGGACTTTCAGAAACTGAAATAACACTGCCTGAGGATAGTTTCCCTCTCTCCTGATGGCCTCGTGAATAATGTATCTTGCTGGAATAGAATTTAGGAAAAAAGAATCAGGCTCTGTATATGAGTGTTCCAATTCCAGAGTCCACCCACATGCATGAATGTCTGAGTTACCCAGCGCCCTTAGCACCCACTCTCTGAGGAGGTGCGCTCAGAACAGTAGTCTTTTCAAGTGTATCACTTTATGGGTTCAGTTTTTTAACAAATTCTTCTTTACCCAAAATTACCTTCCTCCTCTAAATGTTATGTGACAAAACCACATGCTTCAAGGAAAGTGAAATGTTTAGTATCAGATAAATAAATCCCCTCAGAACTCAAACTATAGAAGGAAAGACTTAATGAAAGGGTACTTCGGTAAGCATCATTTCAAAACCTAGAATCACTTGTTTATGAGCCATCCATTGTGTTTATGAAAAATTCAGCCCGTTCACCTGTGAGGAGTCAGATTTTGAGGCCTTTGGCTTGTTAGCTTAATGACAATCTGCCATTATTTAGTTCGGGCATGAAATCAGTTTGTGGTATGCCTGTGATAGCTTTGAGCTCCAAAAAAATATGTAAAGCATCCCTAACTGTCATGCTTTAAATGTAAGGAAGTTTAAAGGACCCTAGTCTTAGCCTATGTTTTCTTGTGGTTAGAGGCATTGCTGTGGTATTTGAAAGATAAGCCTCTTTTTTTCCTTAAAATAATTTTTATTGAAGTATACATAATATTTGTACCAAAAGGTGCACAATAAATCATAAGCGTATAAGCTGAGTGAATTGTCAAAGTGTAACCATCACCCAGATTGAGAAATAGAACATAACTAGTATCTCAGGAGCCCCCTCATTCGTGCTTCCTCCTGGTCATTCCCCCCCACCCCAACCCGGTAACTATTATCCTGACTTCTAACACTAGATTAGTTTTGATCCTCCATCCATATGCCACACAGAGCCTCTCAACATTCTTTTGTGTGCAGACAGGTCTTCAGTTGGAATTTGATTGTAAATCCCTGTATAATTAGTGAGTCTAAAGAAGTTACTGATTTATTCAGGGGAATCTTTAACAAAAACCATCAACAAAAATGTGCCCTTGGGCCGAAATTGGGAACAAGAGAAAAGCAAAGGGGGGAGAATCAGACCCATTTTGCTGGTAAAAGATTTCATTTACAGCCATGCTTTTCTTGGCACAGTGTTCTGGGGAACATGGCGGAGGACCCCAGCTAGGACACTTTAGCAAGACTGATAAAGAATTGGAGAGTATAAGTGATCCCCAAGAATTCCATATTTGTTTATGAAGGGGGTATATTAACACCTCTCTTATATAAAAGTCACTTTTCTAGCAACCTCACCTTCCCAGAACCCTCCCGGGAACCAAGAAATTGACAAGACTTTGCACAGTCCTTAGACACAGTTCTAAGAGGCATGATTTTTCTGGTTTCCGGGTTTCTAGCACATTACAGGAGGGTGGGGCTGCTGGTTCTCTGACCGCAGCAGAAGTGACAGCTGACAAACCCGATAGAAGGGTGCGGTATTGAAAAGCCATAAAAATCAGATCCAAGAACTCAAAAAGCTGTGGGGCCTGAGAACAAGCAGCTTTACAGACCTTCAGAGCCCCTGAGGACACCACTGTGTGTGAAGTCATGCTCACAACGATGATGCTGAGTCATTGTGAAAAGAGTAAATTAAGTTCAGTGTACTCTCTGGAATGAGAAAAACTGCCGTCAAAAAATGATTAGGAGCCTGGCTCTGGAGCCTGTTTAGTTCAGCCCTACATTTGGTGCTTATAGTGTGTGGCTCTGGGCAATTTACTTAACCTCATCTGTAAAATGGGGACAATAGTATTCTCTCCTCATCGCCTTGTTGTGAGGACTGGATGAAATTCTGGGTGGCATTCCTTGTAAGCTCTAGGTATTTGTTAGCTGTTATTAATTTTTGAGACTGTGACAAATGATTAGATGGAACATCCTATTCTTTGGTTGCATATGAAATGTAACCTTTTAAAACAGAGCTTGAGATCTCCTAGCTATTGCCTCTCTAAATACATGCAGTGCAACAGCGTAACTACTTTTATTACTTGGAAGCAATAAAGATGCTTTGATGCAATTCATAATATAAATTAAAATAAGTGGACAAAGCCAGCCGTGGAGACAAGCAAAAGATCAAGAAGAGGTGCATATAATGGCTTAGTCCTCCTTGAGTCTAACAGTGCTCTCATACCTAAGTGTAAGGGTACGTGGTCCAGATCCACATCCTCTCCTGTTCTTTTCCTCTCTCACCAGTGGGGTCCTGTGTACCGCTAAAATCAATGATGAAGTGTCTCTGTTTCTTCCTTCCTTGCTGTTTATTTAGATGGCTGATTTATGAAGAACCTGGATTTCAGGGTGTCCCTTTTATCCTGGAACCTGGGGAATACCCTGACTTATCCTTCTGGGACACAGAAGCAGCGTACATTGGATCCATGCGGCCTCTGAAAATGGTAAAAATGGAATCTAACAAAGTCTTCCTGGAGTCAGTGATTCTTTGTCAGCTTGACTTTGATAAGTCACAGGATGTGACTTGGAAGCAATAAAGCAGCCTTTTGAAAAACAAATATGTAGCAGATGGAATCTATTGCTAGAAAGAAATAATAGAAAGGATAACTTGCTAGATGCTACAGATGAAAAAATTTGGATAAGCCACGCCCTTTGCCTTCAAGGCATTCTCAGCCCAGCTGAGCCATAGGTAGTGTGCATGAAGCTTCAGCCCAGGGTGGGTTTAAGAAGTGAAGAAATTAAACCTTTGTGGAAAAACAGGATAAAGGACAGATCAAGCCCAAGTTGTCGGTGATGTGACAGAGAAGGGGGATACTTAGGAGAGCTTCATGATACATCAAGTTGGATCTTAAAAACCAAGCAGGATTATTTTAAAGATTTTATTTATTTTATTTTTTCCCCCCAAAGCCCCAGTGGATAGTTGTATGTCGTAGCTGCACATCCTTCTAGTTGCTGTATGCGGGACTCGGCCTCAGGATGAACGGAGAAGTGGTGCCTCGATGTGCACCCGGGATCCGAACCCGGGCCACCAGCATCGCAGCGCGCGCACTTAACCACCAAGCCACAGGGCCGGCCCCAAGCAGGATTATTTTAGATGAAGATGTCAGAGAATGCACTTCATGAGCCAGGGCGGAGCTGGGGAAGGACAAGGCACCCAGAGGACCAGCCCAGTTGTAGTGACAGGAGGCTAGGCTGGGTGGCAGCTTTGGGGGAGTTGGGGCTGGATGTCCACATGAGTATTGTCCTCCCAAGCTTTGCCTTAGAAAGGAACCTGTGCTTCCTCTACCCTACCTCTGTATTTTGCCTTGTTCTTTGTTTGTTTCTCCTGCTAGACCCTAAGCCTTGGGAGGACCCACCAGGCTGCATGTGTCTTGGCCCCGGTGTTGAGCACAGTGTGTGCTGTGGGTAGGAGGTGCTCACTGAATACCCGTGGCAAGAATGAGGCTCTTGTTACAAACATGTTTTTGAAATTCCACTTAGCAACTGTCTTCTAGAGTCTGTTTGAAACAAATAAGAAAGTCAGGAAGATAATTCTTTATCTTAATTTTACGCCTCCTACCAAAGCTTGTGGTTTAATTACCTCCATATTTGCTGGTCCTAATGCAGATGATTTTGGGCTTTCTTCTAAAATTAAATTCACTTTCAGAGAACAAAATTTTGTTAGTTTTGCAGATGTGTGAAAGAATTGCCCCAGGTTTTGAAGGCAGTTTTTAATGGTAATTTACATAACCGTGATGTACACGGCATTTGAAAAGGAAACTTTTGAAGAGGGTACTTACTTGGTTATATAAACTCTGGTTTGTTGATAAAATCAGCCACATGCCTTTATAATTACAGTTCATTTGGTGCATTTGAGCATCTTTGGCTGCACTTTTTTTTAAGCTGTTAAATATATATTGGTGAAAAATACCCTTCTGACTTTCCCTCTGCTGATTTTAACTCTTAATCCTGTTTAACATTTCTATATAATACCTTTTCTATGGTTTATTTTTAGTGAGTTTTTCTGGATTTAAAAAAAATTATTATAAAAGTATAACAACTCTCCATAGACCCATCCTTCGGGATGTTTTAAATTTTATCTGACAGTTTATCTAATTATTTCAAGAGTCCTCCAGATCATATTGAGAACTTGCGTGAACCCAACAGCTTTGTAAGCCGTGGTTTATAAAATCAGATGCCTCCAGGGGCCAGGCAGCAAATAGACACCAGTGAGGGTGGCTGGGAGTTGAACTGAGGGATGGTGGAGACAGGCAGCGGGAGCCCACATCCCAGCTGGAGGATAGAAATAATAGAAAGGCTAACTTGCTAGATGCTACAGATGGAAAAATGTGGATAAGCCCTACACTGTAGTGTTAGTGAAAGGTTAATAAGTGCAGAACGTGAAGGTTGCTGCCTGTGAGAATCTGGGTCCAGAGAGGTCAGATCTTAGGCCTGCCTTTTAAGAGAAGTGAGAAATATGCATTTCTATGAAAGATTTTCTGAGTTAAAAAATAAAAAAACGTACCTAACACGCAGATGCTTAGGGACCGTCTCTGTGCGACTCTGCTCTCGAGTGTCTTCCTCATGTCTTCATCTGCATCGTTGGTCATTTTAGAATTGTCTCAACGTAAATGAAAACAAACGGGAATGTAATCACACTGTGAGGTTCAGTGGCTTACCACAAACTGCCATGGGTAATATAAAATGGTAACGTAGCAATGAAAAACCGTTTTTCTTACTATGTTATTTTTCTTTTCAGGGTGGCCGTAAAGTTGAATTCCCTACAGATCCTAAGGTAAATATATATATATTTAAAATTTTATTCCCACTCCCATCTCCATGAAGATAATACTTGTGTGATTTTACATATCACCCTCCATAAAACATAACTGCAGCCAAAGGAAATTGTCCCAACTTGCACATGCCATCCTTCAGGCTGGAAGATGATGCTAAGAGTGCTAGTTATCACTAACAGTATGTGTAGCCATGGCTCAAAAGGTTCATTGTTGTATTAAGTTTATAATTTGTGGCTGTATTTACCACTTGCAGGGCACTGCAAGTTGCTGCTTGCCAGTTAGCCAGGAAAAAACTTTCTTTTCAAGACAAGTTCTCTGTACTCCAGAATGTTCTTTCTGCTGTTTCTACTTCACACTTCTATGACACATAGTTTGATCCAGTTTTTTGCATTTTTAAAGCAACTTAGAATCCTCTGCTTCCTTAGTTTGGCCCAAGCAAAATTCTAAATATCAGTTCTAGACATTGAACCAAAACCAATTATTTATAAACTGTCTTTTGAACCTTGGCTTTGGGCTATACCACATCGGGAAAAAAATTCTGATTTTAAAAATTACATTATTAGATACTGTGATTTAGTTAAATTTTTAGACTATGATTAGAAAATTTTGTGTTCCAGGACCTAGTGTTATTAAATGACTGATTTAATGTTTAGCTATTGAGATATTTAACTTCTTATAAATTACTGGTATATCTCATTTCTGTTATAGGTAGTTATTTATGAAAAGCCTTTCTTTGAAGGAAAATGTATGGAACTAGAAACAGAAATGTGTAGTTTTATCATGGAAGGAGGAGAAACAGAAGAAAAGACTGGAGATGAGCATTCGCCACTGACCTCAGTGGGATCTATGAAAGTTCTAAGAGGCATGTAAGTAGACGGGAGTAACCTGTAAGCATTTCTTTTTTTTTTTTTCCCTTTAATAAAGTAATAAATATGCCCTTCCCCCCACTCCCCGAAACCAACATTCCAGATTGTATGGTAGAGTGAATTTCAAGCATGTTCTCCTCAGCCAATTGAGACTTGGATTTCACACAGCAGTTTCATGGGCTGGTTTGGGGTCAGTCAGCTGAGCAAGGCTGATACATTGGTCCATCCAGGGTGATCAAATCTACAAATCTTGTTTATTAATATTATGCTCCAAACTATTGAACTGTTAGATAGTTTGCTTTCCATTCTTGTCATATTTTGCCTTTTATAGATCTTACATATTTCCTTAGAAGTGTATACTGAAAACGGTCTTGTAAATAGCCAAAAATACATAATATTTTAGTTACTATTTGAAGAAAGTTTATCCAGTCTTATTTGCTGAAGTTCTTTTGAGTTAGTTCTTGTAACACTCACACACTCACACTCTCTCTCTCTCTCTCTCCCTCCCTCCCCCTCCCCCCTTTACAGAACATTGATGTATGTTTCTTAGGTTGTTTTCTTGGGGCCATTCTGTTAGTATCTTAAGTTTTAGAGAAAAATTCAAGTAGTCGTAATGCATGAGTCCATGTCTAGCTTTATAACTATTTGTATTTGTCAATGAAACTGATATATACATTGGAAACATTTTAACACCACTGAAAATTCCTACTCCTTCATGTTCTTTCTGTTGTAGTTGGGTTGCTTATGAGAAGCCTGGATTTACAGGTCATCAGTATTTGCTTGAAGAAGGAGAATACAAGGACTGGAAAGATTGGGGAGGTTACAACGGAGAACTGCAGTCTTTACGACCTATATTAGGTGTAAGTTAAAGAAAAGCTAATGGCTAATACTTGGTCTTTTCTGGAAAATAAATGGCCAGCCTTTGAATTTTGAATTTTTTTTTCTCAATAGGATTTTTCAAATGCTCACATGATAATGTACAGTGAAAAAAACTTTGGATCCAAAGGTTCCAGTATTGATGTATTAGGAATTGTTGCTGATTTAAAGGAGACCGGTTATGGAGCGAAGACACAGTCTATTAACGTACTGAGTGGAGTGTAAGTGAAATAACCAATCGGGATTCTAGACATGGGTTTATCTCGGTTTGTGTCAAGCTAATGGAATCTCTGACACAGAGCAGGCACTCAATAAATAAACATTAACAACTAAACAGCAAATTAGTCATTTAATACCTAGTGCCACAATATTTTCATAACTGCTTTTCAAAATCTTACATAATTCTTTTCCATGTGTAATATAACATTGGAATAGGCTTTTGGGTTTCATGATAGAAATCTATAGATCCACTTCCCTTGTCATTCTGCATGGAAGGACCTCATGAATTTCTTATGATGGGAATCAAAATATAACAGCAATCTAACATTAGAAACCTCAAGTTGGGACAAAGTCCCATTTGATTTTCCTATGGTCCTACACCTGCTCCAGTATATTTCTTCACTGTTATTTTGACATAAAAATAATTGTTTCAATGTACCTGGAGTTAGCAATTGAATGCTTTATTAATGCTAAAGTAAGATTTTTTTCCAGTTATTTTATTGAGGTCATAATGGTTGATCTAAAGTAAGTTTTTATTGAAAGATGATCAGTCAAGACTTTGGGATGCAAGTGACTGCAAGCCAACTTCAAGTGGCGAAGGTAATAAAAATGGAATTTATTGGCCTACATAACAGAAAAGTCCTGGAGAAGATTTTGCTTCGGTCATGGCTGGATACAGGGGTTCAGGCACTGTCATTGGCACTTGGACTCTATCTCTTGACTGGGCTTTTTTCTACGTTGGCTTCACTTTAGGCAGGCCCTTTCCGTCTGGTGGTCTGTGGCAGCATCTTCTGGCTTTTGTTCTCCCATCTCACTGCTTCCAGTGGAAGGAGCTTCTCTTTCCCACAGAAGTTCCAGGTTTGACTTTGATTCTGTAGGCTTGGCTCATGTGCACCTGCCTGAACCAATCAGTGTAGCCAAGGAGACGGCTGTGCCTACGTTACGTGCCCATCCCTGGAGCTGAGATGTAGGGTCAGTCCCATAGAACCACTTAAATATGATTGGGGTGAGAGTTCACCAGGAACATCAGAAGAAGAGGGTACAGATACTGGATGAGCAAAACCAGATGTCTATTAAAAGGAGCTATACAGGTATTCTTATGACCTAGGCTGATGTGAGTTATAATTTGTCATAAGTGAGAATATTCTTTTTTTTTTTTTTTTTGTGAGGAGATAAGCCCTGTGCTAACATCCGCCAATCCTCCTCCTTTTTTGCTGAGGAAGACGGCCCTGGGCTAACATCTGTGCCCATCTTCCTCCACTTTATATGGGACGCCGCCACAGCATGGCTTGCCAAGCAGTGCGTCGGTGCGCGCCCGGGATCCGAACCAGTGAACCCCGGGCCGCCGCAGCGGAGCGCGCGCACTTAACCGCTTGCGCCACCGGGCCGGCCCCAAGTGAGAATATTCTTAAATGGTTATATGAAATCATTTGACATTAGTTCTGTTGAAAGTGTTTAATGTTAGGTTTTTTATGTCATCGGCTTTTTGAATCATTCTAACCTCAACTTGATTGTATTTCATGGGGCCTCCCACAGTAGCCGTGGATATTTGAGATGTGTCTTCAATGTAATGCTTTTACTGTTAGTCATGTTCACTAAATTCCTGTGTAGACTGTTGCTTGTGGCGCCATCTTGGCAGAATGACTTCAGTGACTTCTGGGTCTTCCATTCTTAGCAGGAAATGCCTTCTACTGGGTCCCGTTCTAGAACCCTAACATTTTAGAATTTGCCATAGGCAAGAGGTATGGTTTGGCAGAAGTCATCTGAAATGTTGCTGTGGCTGTGTAGTATTTTAGATTGCCTTTAAAGTTAAATATTTAGAAGGAAAATACAGTGACCAACTCAGTCTGGGGAAACTTGTACATTTTGATACTCACCAGGTGTGCTGGTTCCATTAGTCAGAGCCTATTCATGCACCCTACCAGAGGAAGCAAAAGGATGTTGGGTAGAATTCCCTGAGGGCATTCATGTAGATTATGTGTTAGCACTGGTAGAATTATTGTGCCCTGAGCCAGTCTTTCTCTTTTACCCAGCCCTTGTTTACTTGAAATCAGTTTCCTTTATACAAGGTTGCTTTTATATGTTTCTATTTTTAGTCATTTCTAGGTGCAGTTCCTGACTTAGGCTTTCTTCTGGTTGTAGCAGTTGAGTTTTGGTGTTGGGGGAGAGGTGAAGGGAGGTGTACACACACACACACACACACACACGCACCACTTCCTTTCAAATCCTGTGGTTGTGAAGGGCCTCTGTGTTTACCAGGGCCAGCTGCTTCCTCATTTTTTATTCAGTTGATCATTTGACAAATATTTATTGAGGTCTGTTATGTGCAAAGCATTATATTATATCCTCAAAGAAGTTACAGTGTTTATATAAAACATAATCATTGCTACAAAAGAGAGAGATTAATTTCCAGTTTGGACACAGGGACGACTTTGGAGGAGGTAGCATTGGAGTTGGGCCTTGCAGGATAGGAAGTAGAGATGTGCCACTGTCACATGGGTAATAAATTCCCTGGGTGGTACACTCATTATTAGCTCTGAAACAGAGAACCACCTTCAGGAAGGATGTTCATGAATCCAACAATCTCGGTTCTAGAAACTGCCTTCTGTTTCTTGTTGGAACATCAGAAGAAATGCCTTTACACACTCTGCTAATCAGTTCTAGTTCTATGCTATCTTCTTGTCAAATAGTGGAAACTGGGCTAATTTTGTAAAACTAACAGCAAAAGGAAATATTTTTAGAGTCCAGTAAAAAAAAAAAATACAAGTGCTGTTGTTTTAAGTTCCTTTTCCTCTCCCCTCCACAGAAGGGTGGGTTTGCCCTGCTGCCCTTAGCTTCTGAGCAGAGACCGCCCCAGGCTGGGACCTGCTAGTACTCATTCTGGCCTCCCACCGCCCAAATCTTACAAAGAAGTGTTGACTCATGCGTACAGAATACGTTTAAACAAGGACAGTAAGGAATTTTCTTCATAAGAGTCTCAAGTATGAGCTATAAGTCGACTCTTGATCATAGGTCTACCAGAGAATCTCAGGTCTGAGTGCTTGGGTTTGTTACCCCCATATTCACGGGTGAGTCACCTGAGGCTGCATCTTGGAAGGAAAACAATACTTCTGTCAATTCAAGTAACATCTTAATAGATGGTTTTCCTGCTTCCACTTCTGTGAACTAGAAAGCCTGCCTGGGTGCTGGGTGTTTCCTTCCCAACCTTGATGTCCAACAATCCATCAAAAAGGCCTTTTAACCCTCTGCTCTCCTCTAACTTGTTACAGACCTCGAACCTTGCCAGGAATACTTTTTTGTGATGTGGCTTACCTTTTTTAATTTTTAGGGTTTTTTTTAAGTCCTGGTTTTTGTGAAGCAGACTTTCTCGCTCTGCAGATGCTCCTCCCCACACAGTCGTGTTCCATGCTCCTGCTTTGTTGTTGCTTCCCTTCCTAACATGTGATAAGCCGAGGGCTGTGAGCAGAGGCCGCACACACAGGCCCCATAGGCTGTATAACCTCACCTCGTGTCTGAGCTGTGACCTTGGCCAACCCCCTGACTCATAAATGAAAATGCCAACCCCCTGACTCATAAATGAAAATGCAAACTTTCACAAAGGTTAAGTGACTTCTTCAAAGTTATCTTATGTCATGACCACCGCTAGAATCAGGTCTCCTAATTCCTCATCTCACAATGTTAAAGAATAGCTTTTTAAAATTTGCCTATGAGGTCCTGAAGGTGGAGTGCAGGATTTTCTGAAATAGACCGTGACTGGTGCTTATAGCGATTTCTGCATTCAGATGGCCAGAGATGAGTGTTCCGACGTTAGCTGTCATAGGCTACTTACCTTGAGATTTTGCCGTGTTCTTTTTCTCCTTGATGGCTGTTCATTTCCTAGTAATGACTGTACTTGAGTTTTTAAGTCAGGCCCGTTAGACAGCAAAATCGTAATCTGTTCTAATTATGAAGCGTGTGGGGACTGTTTTAGGTATAGCTTAGTGGAAAAGGAAATGAAAAGGAACTTTAAGGCAGGTGGCAGTTCAGGTCACGAAGTAAGAGATGTTCATGAGCCTCTGGAGACTCAGTCCTGGGTTCAGTGATCCCTGGCCACTAACTGATTGTGTCACCCTCAGACAAGTCACTTCCCATTCAGAACAAACACCAACAGGTAATTCCATGCGATGCTTCTTACCCATCTATGAACTGTTCAGGGCAAGGATTTTGTCTTTTTATCTTGCATTCCTAGTGCCAGTCTAGTTCCTGGCACATAGTAAATGGCCAATCAATGTTTGTTGAATGAATAAGTGAATTAACTTTTCTGTGTCTTTAGGTTTTCCCTTCTGTAAAATGTGAAACCCAGTACCTCCCTAGAAGATTAAATGTGATAATAGATGTGAAAGCATTTTGGAAAGTTCTGAGTATATATACAGGCATATAGGGATTATTCCTTTAACCTCTGAGAAGGATCCGTATGGCAGTGAATTAAGTGAGGAGGAGACTGAGTAGCTCTTGAATGTAACAAAATTGAAAATTTTTTTCCCTTCAAAGACTTCATCTTTGGATAGGAGATAGCATCAATAAGTTGGCTTTGCTGATCTTCCTCTGAGCGTGGATCACTTAAAAGATAACAAATGAAAATATTCCAAAAGAGATTTGTTTTTAGTATTTCTGAGAGTTTGTTCAATTTCGCTTATTACATAGTTTGTGTCATGTTGGAAATCTTGATTGAAATAAAATTTTAGTAACTTAGCTGTTTTTTTTTTAGCATTTTTTTCTGTCAACTTTTTTTTGCAGTGTGGTTTGTTGTGTAATCGAGATATAGCTTCTTGTATTAACTTTCTGGAAAAATATTTTAATGTTGATAACAAAAAGAATTCTTACTTGCTTATTAAAGAACTTTTACAGGTACTTCTTGAAAGTCCAAATTGTTTCCTTAGAATAGAATCAGAAATACAGAGAAATAGCCTTATTACAGCTTTCTCAGGGAATAAGATTTGATAAGCAAGAACACCAAAAGATTCCTGTAAATATACTCTTTCACTTGCCACTTTGATTTGTTATATAGACAAATCTGCTCCTAAAAGATTAATGGAGAATCAGGAAAATTATTAAGACTATTGATTAGTAAAACAAATGAAAGTTTCTATATGATACATATTTTCCCAAACGTGTACGATAGTTTTATTGTATATGTAAACTATGAACTACGTGTAACAAGTCCGTGTCTCCGTTTCTTTAGATGGATAGCCTATGAAAATCCTGACTTCACAGGAGAACAGTATATACTAGATAAAGGCTTTTATACCAGTTTTGAGGACTGGGGAGGCAAAAATTGCAAGATCTCCTCTGTTCAACCCATATGTTTGGTAAGTAGTTATATTTTTGTATGAGAATATTTAAGTGAATTCTGAATTTCCTTAATTTTTGCTGCTGGTTCAGGTAATACTTAAATATGATAGAGACTATCCTGAGATTATTTTTAACAGTAATTGCTAATGATCCAGAAGAAAAAAATTTCAAGATGTCTGCTCTACTCATTTCCTTCTCTCTTCCCTTTAAAAATTTTTAGGATTCTTTCACTGGCCCAAGGAGACGAAATCAGGTAACTTAAAAAACATTCTATTTTTCCTAATTAGGGGCCTTCCATTGAAAAGCTGAACTTATGCATAAACTGTCATATATTTGGGACATTTTGTTAGTTTTACTCATTTTTATGTCTAAAAGCATAACTGCATCTTTAAAGTAGACTTAAGTTTACTTTAATGCTTAATTGATAGCATTGACCCATTTCTAATATTTCTTATAAAGTGTTCTTGTTATGTAAAGTTGAATTTATATTATTACATTGAATGAGAGTTTACATTACATTAATACACTAAGATTAATATTTCAAACAATACATATAATTATTGTGATAAACAGTAAAATGAATTTTCATATTTGCTCTGTCTGCATTAGACAAGCATTTCATATGATCTCTTTTATGTGTTCTCTCACTCAAGTCTTTGAATGCCGACTGTCTCCATCGCCTGAAGTCTTACATTTGTTATTTAGGCTTTTTAATGGAAATGTTCAGACAGCCGTAATTATACAGGCACAAACACGGCTGTAGCCTCCTTTATTGGCATACACAGATTCTAATAAGTCAGCAAGTATCTTCCATTGAGAGGGAGGAACACTATACTACATGATTCCAAAATCTAGTTTCTTGTAAATATTAGAACTGATGAACCATTACTTTTGGCCACAATAAAGCTTTAAAATGCCTCACAGCTTGTTAGGACAGGATGTTCTATAGAAAGCTGCCTCTGTTGTCGGATTTTCCTTTGATGTCTCTGATTAAATTAAACAATGATGAGTGGGGCAGCCAAAGTATTTCTAATTGAGCATTAATGTAGAAGTAGAAAATTAAAGGATTTATGAAATTCACACCAATTTACTGTTAGAGGAGTTAACAGGTCACGTTTGGGACATCACGTCAGAGGCTGAATAACTTAACATGTTTAGGAAAATAATTTTATGTATTTCTGTCTACTTTTGCAAAGATTCACTTGTTTTCGGAACCACAGTTTCAAGGTCACAGTCAAAGTTTTGAAGAGACAACAAGTCAAATTGATGATTCATTTTCTACCAAGTCTTGCAGAGTTTTAGGAGGCAGGTAAGCAAAACAGTAGACTGGCAGAGCCCAATCACTGGGGGAAAAGAGAATTCACATATCAGCAAGTGTTTAGTAATACAGCTAGGTGCTCGGCACTCTATGAAACCACCAAATAATACAAGACCATGTTAGTACTCAAGTGTACTCTCCAGCCTCTGAGTGCTGGATGTCAGAGGACGTGGAGATCAGTGTGGGCTGGAGAAGTTGAAGATCACCATCTCATGGTGCAGCGGGATTCAGCCCAGGTTCTCTACCATCTAGGCTTGTCCCATCATCTGTAAAGGGATGCTAGCTAATCCCTACGGCACCTCCCAAGGCAGATTTTTTACAGGTAGATGGGAGTAGGATGGGCGTTCTGCATTAGAGGCAGGTGCAGGGCTGGAGTGGAGTTGGTGTGTATGCTGATCAGGGAGCACACCACCCTCTCTATCTGGGAGGTCTTTGTACTGGGAGAGCGCAAGCAAGTTGAACAGGGAGGGTGGGATCAGGTCATAAAGGCTCCCCCTGAGCATATGAGTTTAAATGGATGCCCTTGGAGACACAAGACGGGAAAGGCAGTGAGCATCAAGTGCCAGGCTGGAAAGAGTAGTTTTACAAAAGCTTTGGAGATGGCCGAGCCCAAGGTCACGGAAACTCATTCAGGGAAGCCTTAGAGCAACCTGTGCAAGGAGTGATGAGGAATCGAGTCTAATACTAATAACAGTAATACAATCACGTGTCATTTAAGGACGGGGATACGTTCTGAGAAATGTGTCAGGCAGTTTCACCGGTGTGCGAACATCATAAAGTGTACTTACACAAACCTAGATGATATAGCCTACTACACACCGAAGCTGTATGGTACTAATCTTATGGGACCACCATCGTATATGCGGCCCATCGTTGACCGAGACGTTGTCATGCGGTGCATGACTGTAGTACCTCTAATCATATAGTTCTTTGTGGTCTAAACAGCACCATACTATCACTTAGCATTGCAAAGTGGAAAGAGCACTGGCTTTGCATTCAAATGCATAGATCTACAGTAAAACTTCACAGTTTATTAGCACACACCCCCGCCTCTGTCCCAGTTCCTCTTTATCCCCTCCCCGGCTTCATTTAGTCCTACTAGACATGTACCTTTACTGTTGTTCGTTTGTTGTCTGTCTCAGCTCACTGAAGTGTAAACTTCAAGATAGCAGGGACTTTGTTTTGTCCTCTGTCCTATCCCAGCAACAGAAAAGTATGTGACACACAATTAGTCCTCATGAAGCATTTGTTAGATTTAAAAAACAAAACCAACAAAAATCCTAACTCTTCTAGGGAAGCATGGTAAATCACCATTTTATCAATATCGCTGAGGCCCAGAAGGCTGAATGACTGGTCTGAGTCACTTTGGTATTTTGACTCCTGGCCCAGTGCAGAGGTGTTGGAAATGAGGACAAAGGAGTGTCAGTGGAATTTTAGGAAGAAATCAGTAGACCCGGGTCACTGACTAGCTGTGAAGGCTGAGGGACTATTCAGAGAGGGCTTGACAGAACGACACTGGCCGGGAGAATGGTGGCACCTGTGAGAGGAGCCAGGAATGCTGGGAGGTGGAGAGGTAAAAACATGAATAACTTCATGGAGGAAGAAGTTTTATTTCTCAAATGCAAAGTTAACAACTGACTTATTATGAGTATTAATTTGCCACAAGATGGAATGCAGTAAATATGTCCAGATATTTTTGAAGAAAGAACACTGTTCACCACAGCATGGTGATTATTTTATAGCAGGCTACCTCTAAAAACCAGACTTCTTGAATAGGAATACTCAAATTACATATTGTACGTGTGTGTGGTTTTTCCTCCTGTAGCTGGGTTGCATATGATGGAGAAAACTTCTCTGGTAATCAGTACGTGTTGGAAGAAGGCCACTATCCTTGTCTCTCTGCAATGGGATGCCTGCCTGGAGCAACTTTCAAGTCTCTTCGTTTTATAGATGTTGTAAGTATGTCAGCATGAATGTGGCGTTGCAGAGATGTAGGGTTCACATGGCTGATGGGCAGAACAAGGAGACCAGCAGGTAGACTTACTCAGGGCTTAAAAGTCAGAGGCAGAAAAAACAGTTGCAGTAGAACTTTCCATCCTGTAACTTTTTGGTCTCTTTTTAGATCTTTAACATATAAACTGTCTGTTTGCTGTTTTCTCAGACCTCAGGTGCAGACTGTTGAGTCAACCATGGCATACAATCGTGGGTTCGTTCAGGGTCCCTCTCCTGTCTTGTTCTTTTCCATTTCATACCTGTTCCCCATTACCATTCCTCTCTCCTTTACAGGTACCCATTCTAATGTGTATGGGATACAGATTGGATATTCTTATAAAACGTGTGTTTTTTAAAAAAAATCTGTATATAGGCTTTTAATTAATTAATTAATTTATTTTTTTGTGAGGAAGATAAGCCCTGAGTTAACATCCATGCTAATCCTCCTCTTTTTGCTAAGGAAGGCCGGCTCTGAGCTAACATCTATTGCCAATCCTCCTCCTTTTTTTTTTTTCCCCAAAGCCCCAGTAGATAGGTGTATGTCATAGTTGCACAGCCTTCTAGTTGCTGTATGTGGGACGCGGCCTCAGCATGGCCGGAGAAGCGGTGTGTCGGTGCACGCCCAGGATCTGAACCCAGGCCGCCAGTAGCGGAGCGCGTGCACTTAACTGCTAATATAGGCTTTTAATTTAAAGGCCACTTCTTTGTGTGTGAGGAAGATTGGCCCTGAGCTAACATCTGTTGCCAATCTTCCTCTTTTTGCTTGAGGAAGATGGTCCCTGAGCTAACACCTGTGTCTCTATTTTTTGGATGTGGGATGCCGCCACAGCATGGCTTGATGAGTGGTGCATAGGTCTGCGCCTGAGATCCGAACCCGTGAACCATGGGCCGCCGAAGTGGAGTGCACGAACTTAGCCACTACACCACCGGGCCCGGCCCCTAGGCTTTTAATTTATATACAGTATTATGCTATAGTTCTCATTGTGTTATAAACATGACTCAATACTTGCATTAAAAATGTTTAAGAGCTGTCCATTATGCTGTATGTACATCTAGTTTATTGATTCTAACTGGTACAGGTATCCCATCACCATAGTTTACTTATTTAATCCTCATATGTGTATCCCTATGGACCTATGTGGGAGTCTCTTGGGGATATCTATTAAAGAGTGGATTTGCTGGATTTCATGTGCATGATCATGCAATTTCACTAAGTACTGCCCAATCCCACCACTTTAGACCCTTGCTGGCGGTGCATGTGGGTTCCTGTTTTCCACCTCATTGCCATTACTGAGTACTCTCTGACTTTCTAACATTCGTCAATTTGAAGGAATTGGGTAGGAAGGATTCTCACTGTTGTGTTAATTTGTGTTTCACTATTAGCAAGGTTGGTATCTCAATACTTATGAGTCATTTGGGTTTTCTGTCAGGGAACTGCCTATTTATATCCTTTGCCCAGCTCTTTATTTAGTTTCCTGTATCTTTTGTTGTTGTTATTGATTTGCAGAAATTCCTTATAGTTTTTAAATCTTTTACTCTGTTGTTTTAGAGACCTGCAATCAAATGACTTCTCCCAGTTTATCATGTATGTGCTAATACAGATTAGAACGCCCTTTTTGAAGAGAAATCTTTAATTTTGATGTAGTCAAAGCAATATTCAATAGAACAAAACTGCAAGATAATGTTCAGATGTTCCAGTCTGGGTGGGTCTGTAGTTTTAGAAATTTCTGTTAGTTTTTGGTAGCTGATCTCTCCTAAAAAGCTTTAAACAAATGTAATTGGTGATTTTAGTTTTCTTAGTTTGGTTAGAAAACTTAGTTTTCTTTCTACCTTTGTGGAAAGAGCATATGTGAGTTGGCTTTTTCTCATCCCTTCCTGTCTGTCCAAATAACCAAAAGGTTGACCATTCTTGAGATGTGAAAATAGCAGCAGTGAAACGTGGGATGACGTGGTAAGACTCATTAGCTTACAAGTAATGAAATATCTAAGAGTTTGATATTTAACCTGCCTGGACTTCTAAAAGCTACCTACAACTATCTATTTGAAAAACAAAAAAAAAATGAAAAACCAAAACACTTCAGATAGTTTTTAAATGCCTTCCTTCAACCAGAACTTGGCATACATATGTGCTCACATCACTTCTGACACTTACAGATGATGTCCTTTTAAGTTTTTTTTGTGTGTGTGAGGAAGATCGGCCCTGAGCTATCTGCCAATCCTCCTCTTTTTGCTGAGGAAGACTGGCCCTGGTCTAACATCCATGCCCATCTTCCTCCACTTTATATGGGACGCCACCACACCATGGCCTGACAAGCGGTGTGTCAGTGCGCACCCAGGATCCGAACCGGCGAACCCTGGGTCGCCACAGCGGAGCGCAGGCACTCAACCACTTGCGCCACCAGGTCGGCCCCCTTTTAAGTTTTGATTATGATGAAACGGACATTTTACCCATATTAAGAACATACATCTTAATTGCGATTTAATACTTCAAAATTGTTGGTTGGCACTAAATTTGAGCGTTTGGAACATTTTTGGCCTGCCATCTCAGAGAAAAGTGCAGTGAAAGTGCAGAGTTGTAACCCTACTACAATGTTTGTCTTCTTTCCTTCTCGTTTTATATAACCTAATCCCTGCACCACCCAAGCCACCTCTACACACTCAGCTGCTCTGTTTCCTAGCCGACAAAATCTGTCTGCACGTCAGGGCACATCCACCTAAGTGAAGCAGTAAAGTGCCGCACCTGTGCCACAAAACTTTAAGCAGGAAGGGAATTTTTGATGTATCATGTATGATCTTAGGGTTATCATCATTAGAGCTTAGTCTAGGGTCACAAGTGTCTGTAATTTAAAAACATAAGCTGCCAACTTTTCATTTTTCTGAAAATTAGTGGACTTTTGTGCTATCGTCCTCTTTAAAATGAATGACACTTTGAACATGGGGCTTCCATCCTGTTTTTTTTTCTCTCCTCCTACCAATTCCTACAGGAAAGTTTGGGAGAATGAGTACACAGAATCATTATCTTATTGACAGTTAAAACAACAACAAAAGACATTTGAAAATGCATACAAGGGGAGGGTTCCTTGATTAGGCAATTACCACTGGACCACTAGACACCCAAGACTGCCCCAGCCCTCTGACCCTCGCCATTTATGTCCCTGGCTTTCTAGCCCCTCCTTATCCCAATAGAAAATGGCAAAGTTGAAAATAAATTCCATTAGAAGTGTTCAGGGCCGGCCCCGTGGCTTAGCGGTTAAGTGCGCGCACTCCACTGCTGGCTGCCCAGGTTCGGATCCCGAGCGCACACTGACGCACCGCTTCTCCGGCCATGCTGAGGCCGCGTCCCACATATATCAACTAGAAGGATGTGCAGCTATGACATACAACTATCTCCTGGGGCTTTGGGGGGGAAAAAAATAAATAAATAAAATCTTAAAAAAAAAAAAAAGAAGTGTTCATATTCCAGGCATATAAGACTATTTCTTTGTGGCTGGGATATTTTTTCCCCTGCTTTATAACACTATTTACATTTACCTGCCTTTCTATGTAATGGAAACACTTCCTGCTGCTCCGTTCTTCCTCTCTTTAGCTTTGGAGAATATAAACACCCAGACTTCCTGGGAAAGGGAGTTTATGAACAGGTTCAGTCTGGCCGGATCTAGTGTTTTGTCCTTGTAACAAGATGACTTCCACATAAGGTTCGAATTATTAACAAAGATGAATAACAGAACATTGTTTTTGCTCCTAAACAGGAATTTTCTGAACCAACAATTATTCTTTTCGAAAGAGAAGACTTCAAAGGGAAAAAGATTGAACTTAATGCAGAAACAGTTAATCTCCGATCCCTGGGATTCAACCCGAAGATCCGCTCTGTGCAGGTGATCGGTGGCATGTGAGTGAGTTACTACTTGTTTATTCAATAACTAAGTTTGATCATATTTCTTTCTCTCCTACCGTACCTTAAACAAACTGACATAAGGGTTTATTTTCCATAAGGGTTAATAATTATGCACCTTCATAGTACACTTTTCCCATTGGGAAAAGCCATGTGTGAGGCATCTTTCATCCAGATTTTTAGTTTACTGCTTAAGGTAAGGACTTGAACACTTCTCACAGTTCCTAGGGGAATGCTTTGCACACCAGCGCTCAGAGTGAACACTCATTTTTGGTAAGTAAGAGAGAGCTGATTTTTCTTATCCCTTTGAAAGACCAACTCCTTTCATTCTGGAGTAAGGGTTGGCTAGGAGTGACTAGCAGATGCTGTGCAAAATGATTAAAGTTCAACATGAGAAGAGTTTTCTCAACTTTGAATAATTTTGAAATTAAGATGTAGAAGTGAGTAAGGATTATCAATGTAAAAAATATGTTTTTAAGAAAGTATTCTCCTTTCACTCACAAAAACAATAGGCATAGTCTATCTGTATGCATCAAATGTTGGAGGGGACTAGAGCTATTTAAAAAACAATTATGGAATATTAGAGTGGTAGAATTACGGGTGATTTTTTTTCAACAGGTTTTAATTAATATTTTGTTTTTATGATAAAATGGCTAAGATGATAACATTCTGGAGTTCCAGGATTAGAGAACGTTCTTCCTTGATGTAACACATCAACCAGAGAGGAGCGTTGTGGGGTTGCCTTTGTACTAGTCTGCTGGAAGCCATACCTCCTCAGGTGTGGGTACCAACATCTCTGGGTGGAAAGGACCTAAGTTATCTTCAGCAGTTTTCTGGATTGAGGAAGATTACTCTTGTTTTAAACAAAAATTTATTGAGTTATTTACTTTTATTTAATTTCCCCTTATATAATAGCACTTACCATGTGCCACACACTAAGAACTTTACAAATATTAACTATTTAAATAAAAGATCCATTATTACAACTGAAAATGTTTTATGAAAAGCTCACAGGAAGTACTGGGCTGTCCTGCCAAAAGACTCTCTCTCTTTCTTGGCCTTACTGGAGGAAAAAGTGACCTATTTCTCTTCAAGAATGGATATTTTTGGCACAAATACTCATGTGCCAAGATTTTGCTATTTGTCATGAAATGGATGCTTTAAGTGTTTGAGAAAATAAGGTAGTTTCTCCAATGTATATTTAAAATATAAAGCTCAGTCTGAAAATTGGAAGTATTCTAAAAATAAATATAACTGGGGCCCATTGTCAAATAGCTATCGCCACTTACTGTGGCTACCTGCGTTTTTTCCAGATGGGTTACTTACGAATACGGCAATTACCGGGGGCGGCAGTTCCTCCTGTCACCAGCAGAAGTACCTAATTGGTATGAATTCAGTGGCTGTCACCAAATAGGTTCTCTACGACCTTTCCCTCAGGTATTTTTGCTCTCCATGCTTTGAACAGACTGTTTTCTGAAATTTTCTTTTTTTTTGTAAAGGTAATTCAAATTTCTAGTTGCAATTATAAGTTTGAAACTGGCCTCTTCTGCTCCCCCCCTCACCCCCCCAATTTCTGACTTGGGACTCTGTTTCTGGTGCTAAGAGGTTGTGACTGCTTTCAGAAATGCTGTCACACCCGACATCAAAACATGGCACGTCCCAAGTCCTGGGTTGTCCAGAGGCAGCTCCCTGCCCCAGGCACTTCTTTGAAATTTTGTCCAACTCTTCTATTGAAAAAATCCTAAAGCCTCTGAGACTCTTGGTGTAGTAATTATCCCTGATCCACCTCACCTTGGATTCTGCCCCTGCTGTTGATGCTCTTTCAGTGCTTCTAACAGTACAACTTGTGTATGACTACTGCTGGGGCTTTTGTCTTCTAGAAACGAATTTATTTCAGACTTCGAAACAAAGCAACGGGGTTATTCATGTCAACCAATGGAAACTTAGAGGATCTGAAGCTCCTGAGAGTACAGGTTATGGAGGATGTTGGTGCCGATGATCAGATTTGGATTTATCAAGAAGGATGCATCAGATGCAGGGTGAGTTTTGAGGATCAGACAAGGGTCAGTAATAGCATCCTTTTTCAAGTAGATGCTATTTCACAATTCCTGGAGCACTTTCAGAAATTAAAGGTTTTTCATGAATATTTCTTAGCTCTGATAGAAACAGTCGAGGAACTTAATGTGGGAGGTAAAGCTGACACTGATCCAAGATATTTATATCTATACTTTTATATAGTAACAGAAAAAGTATCTGTGCTGCTGTCCCCTTTTTTCTTAATCTGCTTGTTATAGAAATAAGCTCCAGCACTATCAACAAATCACTCTGTTTGTTTCCATTTTGGAGGACCCCCCAGAGTAGGATGAAGGATGAAGAGATACCCACTGTGTAACCACACAGTCCGCTTCCTAATTGTCACACCTCGTAAAATGGAAAATGGCCCGGCTCCCTCTCGCATCACATCTGCCATAATAAACACTTGAAAGCTGAATGTAGTGAGACTTTATGAGAGAAGCTCACGCTTCTATTGTAGATATTCTTTTTAACTCCTTGATTTTATGGGCTTGACTGCTCCTGATTTTGTTTTAAACTTGGTGCCCCATGAGTCAGCAGAAGGAATACAGCCTTGTGAAAGGGAGCACAACTGGTTAATCGGGGCTCTTGTGCTTGAGGGAGAATCATCCTTCCAGTAAACAGAAGTAGTGTCTAGACATGCATAGAAGACACAGTGCATAGAAGACACAGCATGACAAACAGAAGTAGCTGTAATATAGAGGCCAACTTCTGCCTTTGAATGATCTTAACACATGAAAACGGTGCCTTTCAGCAATTATTTCTAACAAACATTTCAGTGACATTATTTTAACAACTTTGAATTCAGTAGGTCCATGAGAAAAAGCAGAGTGTCCCAGATGATCACAATCCTTTGAACTCAATATAGAATAGTACACTTTTCATAAGCATCGTCTATAGTGATGTGTTAGTATCTCATGAACATACGACTACCATAGATTGTTTATACGTTAGGGGTGGATTCACTTCAGAGAAGACCCATAAAATTTTTGCATTAAAACATACTCTACCGCATTTGTATTTTCTTCTTTCTCTCTTTTATAGTTGAATTACATGCCTTTTTAGAAAACTTTAGACATTTCTCATGAAGGAAAGACAAGAGAAACTAATAAATGGTATTTCAAGTTTTAAAATGATAAAAATGCCCTTTTTACCCACTTCAGTGCTACAACAGCCTTCAAAATCAGAGGTGCAGTCATATCCCAGAAGGGTCAGGCCGAGCAGAGGTGGATTATGTCAAGGGGAGATTCAGCTACAGACCAGCCTCAGATCATGGTCATTTCTGAGAGGGAAAAATAGCATGATGGGCACTTTTAATGTTCTAAGACTTCCCTTACTAGCAAGACCGAGTCTCACAAACAGCAGAAGTCTCTTACAAGGGATGAGAATTGCGAACGTTCCTTCACTCACATCATAGGAAATAAAGGGCATAATACTTGTGGTTTGATCCCAGTTACCTGGCTAAAAGCTGAAATGCCTTATGGGGGGTAAAGGAAGCTAGGAACTAAGATAACTTTAAAAATCGATTGAAACAGGAAACGGCTTACAATGATACTTGCATGTGTATCCATCTCTAAGATGCTTATCTTTCCCACCAAGCAGATAGCAGAGGACTGCTGCCTGACGATTGTGGGGAGCCTAGTAACCTCTGGCTCTAAACTGGGCCTGGCCCTCGACCAGAATGTCGACAGTCAGTTCTGGAGCATCAAGTCAGATGGCAGGATTTACAGCAGGTTGAAGCCAAATTTAGTTTTAGATATCAAAGGTAAGGATCATTTCCTTTATTTTCTTCATTGTGTCTTTTTTTAGTTAACTAAAAATCTATTCTTTACTTTTAAACATGCTGAGTGTACTATTATGAGTAGTAAGAGATCCCTTACTATGTGGCAGCCACTGTGCTGAACACTCTCCCTACATTATCTCATGTGGTCTTCACAGCAGCCCTAAGAGGCCTGTGTTATCTCTTCCCCCCTTCCTCCCCTGCCCCATTTTTCAGCCCCAGAAACAAGCTCAGAGGGGTTAATCAGTTTGGCCACAATCTCACACCTATAGCTGCTGAGGCAGAACCTGGATATGGGCTAATTTCAAACCATTTGCTTTATTATAACAATGCTAGACTAAAAATCACAAGTTAAAAGGCTATGATCTTGCTTACTCAGTAGAGTTGATGATTCTCATGTATATGCATGTAACCTTTCATTGAAAAGATCTAAGATCTAGAAATTAAAATAACACAGCCAAGAGGATTTCAACTGAACATTTGTTCAATGAAGTTAATCCAGAGAGAACTGGTGGTGCTTGAGGAAGAACAAAAATTTAGGCCAGTGGTTCCCAAACTTGATCTGCATCAGAATCTCCCAGAGAGCTTGTCACCCTCAGTTTCTGATTCAGTAGGTCTGGGGTGGGGCCCGAGAATATGCATTTCTAAGTTCTCAGGTGTTGCCCATGCTGCTGGTCTGAGGACCACACGAGAAGAAGCATTGATGATAATTTAAAAACAACATAAAACAAAACAGAAAACTGACCCTCTAACATAGACACGGGAATTCAGTGAACTCTTGTTACTGACGGGCAAATGAAGACAGTGTGTTTTATTCATGTCATATATGGTAATTTTGCTTTAAATTATTAATGGAGACTTTCTATTTCCTATCAGGAAAGCCAACATGATTATGTTTGTCAATTTAGTGAAATGGTTATAATGTAACCATACTACACCACATACTCCATACTCATGTCTAGAAAGTTGGCTCAATTTTACTTTAATCAGGGATCTAGGCCAAAGCGGTCATTGAAAATTAAGATATAGCGGTAAAGAAACAGCTGCAACCTGGTTTACAATAACTTTTCTGGATAATGGAGAATAAGCCTGAATGTTTTCATCAGGGGCTTTGGTGACTGCCTGAGGAGCAGAAGTGTTGTCACTTCTGGATGAGCTCCAGGTGGGTAGAGGGGCCAACCCACTTAACAATGGGATTAGAATTCACAAAGAACCTGAGGAGCTGGAAAGGCGCTCAGAGGCAAACTAATTAGGTTTAATGAGGCTAAGGCAGAGCACTACACTGAGGGAGAACAAGCTAAGGAATATAACCATGGGCTGGATGGAAACCAAAAATCACACATGAAATAAAATGCAAGCAGGACACTTGGATATAAGAAAATAAATGCAACATTCTGGAAATGAATAGTAATAAGTATACCTCCTTCACATTATATTTGGTACAAAAGATGTGTCATTATGTAGACAGGTAAAATACCCATTTTACAGATGAGGTTCAAACTGGTTAGGAATCACTGACCCAGACCTTTCTTTACTCTTTTTTTTTTTTTTTTTGCTAAGGAAGATTAGCCTGGGGCTAACATTTGTGTCAGTCTTCCTCCACTTAATATGTGGGTCACTGCCTCAGCATGGCTGATGAGTGGTATAGGTCCATGCCTGTGACCCAAACCCACGAACCCGGGCCGCCAAAGCAGAGCACCCGAACTTAACCACTACACCACAGGGCCGGCCCCAGACCTTTCATTATTCTTATTTTGATCAACTTGTTGAACTGGAGCTCCTCAGTCAATGCAAGATAGAGTTTCAAAACCTCCAGAGAAGCCAAAGAAATGTGACTAAATTGGAAACACTGTGAATTTTTTGGAAAACATGGAATCATGTTTCTTACAAATGTGATCAGCTTCCTGTGTCCAGGGTTAAGATTGCTGTGTTCTTCATGAGCTAACTCTTAGAGCATTTCTTTTATTCTTTCAACATGTATTTATTGGGTACCCACTATGTGGCAGGCTCTGTGCTAGACACTGGGTGTACCAAAGTGAAACAAAAAGATATTACCTTGGCTTCAGAGAGCTTACATTCTAGAAGCTCCAAACATATAGGATTTTTTTCCCACTTGCTACATTGGCAGCTGACCAGGAGTAAGAATACCTAGTTTAGTCTTGACTGACAAGAACTTTGGGACCCTAGAAGGGTCCTCCTTAGGGCTTCACTTTAAGGCTCCAAGGTCCCTTCCTAAAAGCATGATCAATGAGTCTGATGCCTCTTGAGTAAGGATGATGTTCTTTGTGTTTGTGAACTTGCGGTAGATCTAGTATGGCAGCTGCAATAGTCACTTAATGTCTTGTTAAACTGAATTTAAATGTCTCAGAACGTAGGAGAATGGTGCCATCTTGTGGACATGCCAGTGTAGGACCACACATCCCACATACTGCGCAAGGGAAATATAAATACTTCTCTTTGGTGCACTTAATAGGAGACTGATTTTCATTAGCTATGACTGTCGAACCATTTGTTACTACTACTATTGCCATAAGATTTATTAGACCAAGTGTGTTTCTTCTAACCTTTCTCTCGATGTTTGGGGAGTGAGTTATGGTGGTAGAAGTTCATGTATTATTCTAGACCACATACATACATTATGACAACAGTAGAAGCTGATTCATGCTCACTTTCAAAACATCATAATTCTCCCCAAAAGCAGAAGAATGAATCAGATTGTTTCTCAAGAACTGTCTAGTCTTCATGATTCTAATTAGAATTATGATGTAATATACACAAAAAGTACGTTAAGATACTATAATCCTGAAGAATGAAAAAAACATTGTGATCTTAAGGTAATACTTCCTGAAATCTTGATGGAGCATAGTGTGTGTGTCTCGGTGGAGACAGTGGGGTTGGCTGGTGATGATAACTTTTTTTCCATTGCAGACTTGCACATAAAAAGCCCAAGGCACCTTGCCCTTGTTCTATGCTATACCTAGCTGTGTGGAGGCTCTAGATTATCGATGATGATAACTCGATTTCTTGTAAGAGGCATATAAGATGATTCCCCTCCCCAACTACCAAGATCTATTGTGTAGTTTTCAGACCTTTTGGCTATTTTTAAAATGCTTTAAAAGAGAATAAGAATGTTTAATTCTTGGCCTGAGGTTACAGTAGGATTTCAATATCAGTCATACTGCATCTAGATGAACAGATTCTTATTTGGATAGAGTCCTTGGTGACAGAACCTTGGTGCAGAGACTTATGCTAAAACAAGGTAACATATCTGAAAGGATGTTTATTCCACACTGGAAAAAAAATCAGATGACCCTTTCTTTTGTTAATGATATTTCTCTATTGACAGAAGAGGCCATGAGGCTGTTTTTAACACTAAGGTATCTGAACCATCTAGTAGGCACCCTTGGAACATATTCTTACACACATTCTGGTGGAAGGGAGTTTATGGAGACCATACTATTACAGTACAGTGGAACTCAGCATCTTAAATGCTGTGTATTTTTATACACCAGAGCCTGTGTGTACCCAGTAGTGGGAGTGCTGCCCTGTGCATACTTCTGGGTGTCATTCAAACCTCTCCTTTGACCTAATACAGCCATTTTTCATCGTTCATGCAAACCTGTTCCATCAGACAACCATTCCACTACTATCGGGCCCACCTGCTTCCTCCTTGCTCGTATCAAATCCATGATCCCAAGACTGATTGTATTTCATAATCTCTTTGCTCCTTTTCCCTACTCTCGATTCTTCCCTATTACCCCCAATTTGAGACATCTTAAAGTGACTGTGGACCAGCTTTTAAGACCTGAGTAGGAAAAGGAGCCCCAGTGGGCAGGACATCCTGTGTGGGTTGCTGGTGCCCTACGAGGGGACTGTAACACACTCACCCACTGCAGATTGACCCGCTCGGCCCTCAGGTGACTTTCCAGGCTCTCCTCCCTGCTGTGGTTCCTCGAGGTGCAGACTTTCACCCCTTGCTGACTTTTGTTATGCTGGGGCTGTGATGAACCGCGGCTGCTCGAGTCCCTTCACGGGGGCAATGTCCTTTATTATGTTCCTTTTCTGTCTTTCAGGAGGTGCACAGTATGACCAAAATCACATCATTCTCAACACTGTCAGCAGAGAGAAGTTTACACAAGTGTGGGAAGCCATGGTCCTATAGCCCTGAAGGAAGAATGCAGGTTTTCCAGCTACCTTACAAAAAACACAAGGACTGCTGATGGCAGAGCCGAGAGGAACGTGGATCTGCTCCTTCAGCAACTCTGAATTCCCTCTAGAATCACACTGCTGTGATGGAGACCACTGTCTCATCTTCTCCAAAGACTGTAATAGTTTTAAACCAATAATTTGTCCTTCTCTCATTTCCTGCCTTTCATTTCCTTTCAGTAGCTGCTTAAACAAGTTGCCTCACTTGCAGCTTTTGGGTGTTTTTTAAAAAATGTTCTATCAAGACTTTAAGACTGTACATTTTAAATTATTTCCAAAGATAGTGACAGGAGAGAAGAGGAACAAATTTGCCAACTTCGTGGACCTACAATCCCTTCCCCTTTAAAGGGCAGGATAAAAGTTTTGAGTTTGTATGGAAGACTGTTTAGCATCTGCGAAGAAATGACTGATTAGGCCTGAGATTTTGGTCCCTGACCTTCTGTTTTCAGGAATTATGCTGTATAGCAAAGTGGGGAAAGCCTTATATATGCAGACATATTGTAAGGAACTAAGTATACACAAAACACTATTTTCTTTCTGCTTAATATTAAAAATCAGTAAATTTACAAGATTTCATGTCCATGTCTGCTAACATTTATTAGCAGGATTTGGATTATTTTAACTTACCTGTGGGCTGCCCTAGAATGTCACAAATGAGTGTTGACTGCTTTGCTTCCAGATGCTACTGGAAGAGTACTACCATGGCTTAACATATTAGGCCATCCTCCCTCATCTACAACTAGTTCTGAAGCAATGTTATGCAATCCTTTGCTAAACTCAGGTCTTTTAGCCTAATTTCCTGCCCTCCTATCGAAAGGCCTGCCTGGGGCTACCTTCCCTGGAATGTTCCACAGCCTGTGCTCCATGACTGCTGGTGGGACAGCCTCAGGTCTCAGGGTGTTGAAGCCCCTGTGTCACTTATTTCTATTAAATAGCAGAAATGACAGGGGTGGAAGGCTCAAGGGGATGACCGGCAAGTCTCTCCAGAAAGGGAAGGAAAGGAGGCCTTAAGCAATGCTTATTGGTCAAATCTTAGAACTCTGAAAACCCTGAAATGCAGGAAGCATGTCAATGCAAGTTGAAAATGTTTAACTGCTGACAATACACTGGCCCACATGGTGCTGTTCAAACAAACAGTGCCTTCTAGTTTTGAACAAAACTGCTAAACACGCCTTGAAGACACTCTTTCTCTTTTTGTCCTCATTTCGTTGTCCTCGTCACTGAATACTGGTGCTCTCGTCACAGGAAGAACAAATCTTGTTTCCCTTTTTTCTGTTCGTGTGTTTCCACCTCCAAAAATGCTGATCCTCTCTGGAGTCTGTGGTAGGCAATTACGGTCATCAGAGAAGCTTAGCTTCAGTTTTACAATAACGTTTGCACATGTCCCACAGCAGCCAACATGGCTGTCTTATTCTTAGATGTATAGCTCTGATTTTAGGCCTCTGTACAGATCATTACAGTAGGGTGGGGTAAGACATTCTACAATACCCTGTGTTGAATTTTATCTCTTGAATAAACTTGTTTCTGGTTAACTGTAGTGATGAAATCTGATTGCGTCCATTCAGTAGCCCTCATCACACTTCAAAGAGAGTCAGCTGGCAGATGAGAAACAAATGTCTGACTGATTAGGACGAGGGTTTCAGGGCTGCTAGGAAGGTTTACTGACTACGCTCTTTCCAGACTCAGTGGTGACGGCGTGCTCTACTTCTCCGAGTGGACATGAGGTAAGTGAGGTCCTCCCTCAAGAGTTTTGCCCCTCACCACCACCTGGGAGCCCTCCAGGGAAACGAGCTGAGATGGTTCAGATGGAAGTCAAAGTGGCTCTATTTACAACTGGAAAAACATAGTTTCTTTCCAGACAAATTTGTACTGGTGAAACCAGCAATTCTAGAGAAAAGCCCTCATCCAACACACTACCAAATGAGTGTCTAACAGGAGTAAACCAAGTAGGAAGTTACTCAAACAGGTCTCCATCAACAGCTAAAAGCTAGTATCTCAGGTGCAGTAATGAGGATGAGTACGACAGGAAATAAAAACTTACCTTAAATGAATGAAGGCACAGACTAGATAGAGACTCAAAAGCTGCAACGGGCTTATTGGCGAGATACCTAAATGCAGGCATTTAAGGTCAGAAACGGGAGGACTTGGGGCCCCAGTGGAATGGTTGTAACTTCCAAGGACAGGTCCTCAGAGAAGCATGTTTCAATTGTTAAACGATGCCTAGCCCTCATGCAAAATGTAAGGGTTTTAAAAAGGTAGAATCTTGAGCATCACCTTCCATTTTCTGAGAGTAAACAACCACATCACTAGCCAGGCTTTTATAGATGACCCTGAGAGATTCAGAACTTGGAGGGCTGTTACAACGACATTACCGCAAAGGAATGAAAATCAAAGGAAACCCTGGCCAATTAGAAAAGTGCTCACTGATCAATCTAAGAAGGAACTAGCCTTAAGTAAGTTCTCCATGCTGCCATCCGTCCATATGCCGAAAGTGTTAGTCTCACAAACATTAAGATCATGAAATAGAGTTGGAGCTTGAACAGAAGGTGCCACTACAATGTGCAAATCCAGTGTGAAAGAACAGCTTGAAAACAATAGGCAATTTTCACTGTACAGACAAGTCAAGGTGCGGCTATTTCTGTATCCTCTTACTTGTGTACCCCTTGTGCTCGGCCCAGAGGACCTCTCGGCAAACAGGAATGCAGGGGTGTGCTGGGGGCGGTTACAGCAGAAAGCACTGTGGGCAGGCAGGGGGATGCCCAGAGGGTGTGGTGTGGCTATAAAATCAATCTCTGTGCTCAGTTCAGAAGATGGGAAATACTGGCAAAAAGGTGTTTGCTCTTTCAAACTTCTGGAATTACAGTCTCATCTGGAAAGGGATGGCTAGAAAAAAGTTTGAGCCCACAGGCACTCACAAAATAAGAAAGCCAATAATCACCAAACTGAAGATTTATTTAAACGACATTAATTACGGTCTTTCCTCGTGCGTGTCCTCTTTCCACCTTCAGGAAGGCTTCGGGAACTTGAGAAAAAGGGAAGGTTTTTTCAATAACTGGCTGAATCTGTAAAACACAAGAAGTTGACTGGTGGATGAGAAAACATACATCTTTCCAGGCAGATAAGGTCCACAATTAGTTTCTTCACAATGTCCCTCAAGACCAGTCTCTGGGGTCTCTCTCGTGCACCTAGGTTAGGAGCTCACCGCCGGGCCACGACTGCTGCCCCATCCTGCCTGCCTCTGCATCCCCTCTCTGTAAGGCAGCCTAACTCAACCATCGCTCAGTCTCACCGCTGCTCTATGTGGTTATGTCACTCTCCGACTCAGAACCTTCAGGAGCTCCCAAGCCTGGCATTCAAAAGCCACTACCACCCTAACCTCAGCCCTCATGCAGACTCCAGGCTTTACCAAAATGGTCTACTTGTCATTATCTGAACACAGGATGTTTGTGCCTCTCCTCTGGGAATTCTACCGCCCTTCCAGCCCAGGTCTCACACTACCCTTCCTGACCGCCATCTGCAGTGTCTTCTCTCATTGAACTGCCACGGGACCTGTGAGGCCTCTTCACAGACTGCTTGTTACAGCTGAGTACACGTCTCAGCCACCTGTTGTGTATGGTAAATACCAAAGAGGGCAGCCCAAGGTTCTTGCTGTACGCATCCCCGTGGCCCCCTCGCAGGCAGCGCACAGAGTAAGGATAGAGTTTTTCTTTTAATTTGTTAAATGTCTGGCATATCTACTGAACCAGAGCTTAGAGTACTGCGGCAGAGGCCACCTCTTTTGTATGCCCCACAACACCCAGCACAGTGCTGGGTACACGGCAAGAGCTCACTAAATGTTGCTTAGGTGAAAACCAGTAAGACAACTGGGAAGCCAGTCTTGCGTGGGGTCCCTGGGCTTCAGAAGAACTTGTCCCAGGCCGGAGCTGCCCTGCGAGGCTCTGCTCAACAGCGGAGCAACTGGTTAGAATTCACAGGAAAGCCATCTCAGCCAACTCACAGATGCTTGAACGCTGCTGGTTCTTTGTACCGTCCTGTTCATTAGTACTGCCAGCAACCTCCTTGTGAAACTAGGGCCCAGTCAGCGCCCTCTCTCCCCACACCAGAACCCAACCAGAATCTTACTTTTGAAAACTTCAAGCAAAAGCCCACTGGGTAATTGCCCACTGTGTATTTCAGTGGTCTGCCTCCCATTGCTCTACAGACAGGGATAAGCTGTCAGAAAGCAGAAGCTAACGCCTATGTTTTACGACCCCTTTCCTTTTACAAGAAGAAGTAAGTGTTCTTGTGGTATCAGATGCATCTGATGTACCTTCCTCTTGTGTGAATTTCACAGCCCAACCACCAGAAGAGCATCTCAGACTCCAAAAGTTCTCTTCTCTAAAGAGTGGAAAATTCTTCTGTACCCACAAATCACAATAAGCTCATAACAAAAATCACAGCTCGCACATATTGCCCTCACTATGTGACAGGCACTCTTCTAAGTGCTCTGTGTATTTTACCTCATTTCATCCTATAACCACCTTTTATGAGGCAGGTACTATCATTCCCACTTTAGAGGTGAAGAAAATAATGCACCCAGTTAAATAAGTTGCCCAACGTCATTCAGCTGCTAAGTGGCAGGGCAGGGTTCCATCTTGTGCCAGACTCTGTGCTCTCACCACTATGCACTGAGCCTTTCACCTATCCTGCTGCTTTCTACACCTACTCCTAACTCTTAAGGGGGAGGAAAGGTAGCCAAGGATTATAATGATCTATCACAGCCTGCATCTTGGCCGGCCTGCCTCATGCTAAGGGACTGGCAGCTGAGGATCCGATCTCCAAGCCCTGTGTCCAGGCCACCAAGATGGCAGATGTGTGGTACATGTGCCACCACTCCCATCTGCACCTGTGGAGGACATCACTGATTAGTAAGTGTGGTCCTCCCCAGCAAGCTGAGCATGACCTCAGAATCTTCCTCAACACCACAGCCACTAGGAACAGATCTGAGCTGGCTTGATAGATGAAACACATCTGCCTTCGCTGCTAAAAGAATGGAACACATTCAAGTTGCTCCCTGCATGCCCCACCTGAAACCTCCTCAACACACCCCTCTCCTTAAAGCCCCTGGGACGTTGTTTTCTGGACACTGATTACCTGAAAAGGAATCACCTGAATACATGCTTAAACTGCAGAGTCCTTAACCTCCTGTTAGAACAACTAAATCAGAATCTCTAGGCGTGGGGTGGAGACATGCATTTTAAATAAGCTTCCTAGCTGAGTTTTCTGCACACTAGAGGTGGGAATTCCTGCAGCCTTTTGCTCTCTTCTTAGGGTCCCTGACTCATATCATATACATATTCATTCATTCCACAAAGACTGACTGTCTGCCCTCTAGTGTCTGCTAGGCACTAATGCAGAGCAGGTACACACCCGAGAGACAAATCAAGAAAGAAAGGAGGCGATAACCTCAACTCGTCACTGAGCACTGGATACTGGTAACAAAAGCAACAAGCAGCGGTGTTACCAGAGCTCACAAAGGAACCGTGAATCCACCTGCTCAACTCCAGAACGAACCGCTCGGCTCATCCAGCTGCGTTCACTGTGGAACTCTAACCGGAGACACGGCTCCTGAACTGATGACACAGGCAGCCTGCAGTGACTGCCACTTTAATCTGGCTGATCAGGCCTATTGTGGAGAATAAGCCAGAAGGCTGACTGTGGCATAATAAGTCATTCAGCTCTTCCCATAAGTGACAATGAAAAAAAAGGCTTTTGATTAACAGGCAGGCAAATGCCACTATTGGCTGAATATGTGACAGCAAACAGAGATTAACTGGATAATGAGGCACAGCTTCACATCAGACTTGAATGCTTGTTTGTTATGGACAAAGGGATCAGGGCAAAAACTCAGAGAGGGGAAAGAGAGGTTACTCACAGTGAGGTGGGGACATTTATGTGATGACACGGCTGGAGTCCACCCAGCACAGGGAGCCCTGTTATAAAGCAGGTGGGCTCAACACCACACTTCCCGCTACACACGGGGCTCGCAGCTGACTGGGAGGCCCATGGCAGCAGCACTCATTCCAGTCTGGGACCCAAATTTGGGGTCTCCTGATTGTGCGTGACCTTCCTGAAAAAAGGCTATAGAAAGCCAGGCCCCAGGGTTTGGCACCTGTTGCCTGACATCCCTTCTATGAGAACATAGGGCCAACGGGAACCTCAACCTCCTGTTGTGCCTGTGGAACACTGACACTTCCCAGCCGCTGGGCAAGCCTCCTTGCCTCTGAGGCAGAAACCCTCTCTGCCCCTTGAGGAGAGGAGTAAAGAAAACTCTCTCACCACAAGAGCACAGGGGAGCTGGTGGAGAAAGGACATCATCCAGGCAGGCCTGGCAGTAGGCAGAGAGGTTTTCCCTCAATTCCCACTTTCCCAGGGAGAATCATAGAACAGCAGAGCTTAAAAGGGATCCAAACAGCTGAGCGAGCCTGTTGATAGATTAGGAAACTGGAGTGCAAGTGGTTAAGTGCTAAGCACAAGGTCAGAGCTGCCGGCAGAGGAGCCAAGGTCCGGGTCCAGGACTGCTGACTTCATTACTACATTGCCGGAGTGCAGTTTGGGGAGAGGAGGTCGAGTCACAGTCTGTCCACCTCTTCCCCAGACCCTCGGCCTCTGCCTCCACTGGGCACAGAAACCCACAGACCTCAGAGGGTGGGGTGTGTGAGGAGAGATGGAACAGAAGACAGACACCAAGGGGGACCTAAGGGCTCTGGCATGAGTCCTAGCGCACACACCTGTGGACAGGCACCAGGGACCCAGGGCAGGGGCAGCAGGACCACAGTTCCGGCACTACCTCTTGGACAGGTATGCCCTGACCTCTGCGATAAGTTCAATATTTCCAGGGTCAAGGTAAAGGGGGAGAAGGGACTTCAATTAAGGAGACATAAAGATGACAAAAGGAACAAGTGAGCTTTGCTCAGATTTGCTATTTCTGGAACTTCCTGCCCCCAGAGGGAAAACTCAAAGCTGGAAGATAGATGGTGAGATGGCGGGTGGGGACAGGGGAGTAAATGTGCCCATTTTGGAAAGCATCCAGGACTTGAACCTAGGTCCCCCTGAAAAAAGGCACTCCTTCCAGCCAGAAGGTGAGAGGAGAAACAGCCTACATTTCCCCACAGAAACAACTTCAGTAGCATCAGAAAAACTTCAGTAGCATCAAGGCCATGAGATCCAGGAGGTACCTGCCATATTTGGCAGTGGTCCTAGGGATTCAATCCCCAGTCATCATATTCTTTCTATGAAAGGAAAATCCAGTTGCAAATAAGGAGCTTAAAGTTTTGGAATGTAGCTCATTGCTAACCTAGGGCCTTGCCATCTCAAGAGGGATCTGGGAAATCTCCTGCCTCAGAACTTACTACATTTTTCACTAAAGCCACACAGTCCAAAATGGTTACCTCTAGCCACATGCGACTATTTGAACTTAAATTAATCAAAAATAAATAAAATGAAAAATTCAGTCCCTCAGTTGCACTAGCCACATTTCAAGGGTTCAATAGCCAATGTGACTAGTGGCTACCATATTAGACAGTGCAGACAGAGAACATTTCCATCACTGCAGAAAGTTCTAACAGACAGCGCTGCTCAGAAGGTAACTCAGAATGGCCAACACATCTCTCCACAAGTTACTGGATAAAGCAGAGTGCTAGTCAACTCTCAGTAAACATTTTGAATTAAACTCAAATAAATTAGATAGGAACTATTCTGACGCTGGCTAAAATAAAGAAATAAACTAAGATATCTATATCATTGCTCAACCAAGAAGTTTGGCTGGTCACCTAGGATCTTGAATAGACCTGTGGACATTAAGTACATGATATAAAGGGCTTTAATAATTACAAGAAGAGTATATGTGTGCAAATAAACATACTCAAAAAGATGAAAGAGTACAAAGAAAAACCTCCCTCCCAGACTTGATCACCAGCCATCTAGTTCCCCTCCTCATGGGCAACCAGTATTTCAAGTTTCTTTCATATTTTTGATATATTTTATGCATTGTGCTAGGCAGAATAATGGCCCCCAAAGATGTCCACATCCTAATCCCCAAAACCTGTGAGTACGATAACTTGCTTTGCAAAAAAGGGCTTTGTGATTAAGTTCAGGATCTTGAGACAGGGGGATTGTCTGGGTGGGCTCAATGTAATCACAAGGGTTGTTAGAAGAGGGAGGAAGGAGAGTTAGTCAGAGAGGGAGATGTGATGACGGAAGCAGATGTCAAAGTGATGCAAGGCCACGAGCCAAGGAATACAGGCAGCCTCTAGAGGCAAGGAAACAGATTCTCCCCTACAGCCTGCCTCCAGAAGGAACGCAGCCCTGCCCACCCATTTTGGACTTCTGACCTCCAGAACTATCAGATAATAAGTTTGTGTTGTTTTAAGCCACTACGTTTATGGTAATTTTTTAACAGCAGCAAGAAGAAACTAGTACATGCATATAAACCAAATATGTATAAATATTTTCCCTCAAAGCACAGTCATTCTTATCAGTAGCTGACTAGGGTCTAAAGGATCTGCCTCACCACCTCCTCTCAAACCTGAAAGATACTGAGAAATACAAGAGGATTTTGTAGATAGAATTCAAACTCCACCTATCTAATGTCTGGATGACTACTTAAACAAGCAGAAAACAATGAAGGTTGGGTGAGGGATTTATTTTATAACTATTACTGCCTGAATCTTAAAGGCAGCAAAGGGTGGTGGAAGGAACTGTCCTAGAGGTCGAGAGACCTGGGCCCTGCCTAGCTGTGTAACCTTGAACACATCATTTAATCCCTTAGGGCCTCTGTCTCTTCAAATGTGACACAATGACAGGATGGGGGGTTGGGGAAGGTGAGGACAGTAAACCAGATATGTGCTAGGGTTTCCTATTTCTAATCTTTGAGTATGCTAATCGATGATGTATGTCTGGCCTGAATATACTTTTTGCTATGGGTCTCCCACTCCCCACCAAAAAAAGTTTGCTGCATAGTATAAAAACAGGAAATGTTGATTGTGCTTAGGAGAAAAATGCCAATAAACTATAAGCACAAGGCACAATTTCAGTAGCAGTCCATGACACAATGTGCTAATTATAAGTCATTCTTTGTATCACCCTATTGATACACAGACCATCTTTGGAATACCCAAGACACTGGTAACATTGGTTTCTGACTAAGAGAACCTTATGCAGATTAGAATTGGTGTCTGACTAAGAGAATCTCAGTGACTGAGTGACAGGAGTCAAAGGAAGATTTTGTGAAACTACTTTTCCTACCTTTTGGATTCTGAACCTTGTAAATGTATTATCTATTCAAAAACTTACAGTATTTCAAAAGAGTAGGCTCTTTTGGTTCATCGCTTCACACTGTCAAAAAACAACTACAGTTCCTCTATCAGATATCTGCTAATTAGATTCATTAAATACTCAGTCAAAGCTTGGAAGAATTTCAATGTTCTCATTCAGTTTTAACAATCTTTACTAACCATACAAAATGTAAATAGATGTGTTCTGTTATCTTTTCCAGTTTCCCAGCGCAGACAAGTCAATGACCTCGCACACCCACAAAGAAGCAGGACGCGTGACAAGACAGCTGACTTCATCCTGGCATCCAGTGTCACATATCAACTTCCACAGTCCCAGAGCCCTTCACTGGCAGAAGTGACTCCCAAGGCCAAATAACCCTGGTCAGAAGAGAGGAGAATCAAAGGCCAAAGGAACATTTTCTCACTCACCCTTGTTCAAGGATACTTCAAGGGCATCTTTATTTCTATCATGTTCTCTTTTAGCCATTCTATCAGTTACCTGCCAAATTTAATAGGTACATATACACAAGTCTCCTCTCTTCTCTGTTGCATAAATAGTAATTTCCAGGTAGAGAGAAAGAGAATCACAATATTTTGAATACAAAAGAGCGATGGTAAGCATGTGGACAGCCTGGAGCAGGTATCAGGACAAGCACAATCGTGTGGGGTACTTTTGGAGGACAGGGACCTCTCTAATGATGGGGCTCCAACCATATAAAGCTCTATGTAGAACTATGGGCCAAATTATTTGATGACAGTTCATTTCCCTCTTCCTAGAAATAAAATAAGCATCCCTGTGGGATGTGGGAAGAACCCTACAAAGAGGCACGTACATCACAATAAGGCTGAGCCTCTGTCTATCTAGTACACATCAAGACTTAGAAGTTTGAGAAACGGCACACAAAACTGGAACCAAAAAATCTGAGAACAGAAGCAGGCCATTTTCTATCATAAGTTCTTTGGCTGTAATAGATTTAAAAAACTAAATGCACAAAAAGCAGCCAGTACTTCCTAAAAACATTCCTTTCCAAAACTGAAATGGAAAGATGAAACAGGTCAGCAAGGGGCAGGTGCCAGCAGAAGAAAGCCCACCTCAAGGGGCTCTTTGCAAATGGCTTAGCATGGATTATGTGGTGTAATGCAGGCCCTGCTCCAGCCCCTTTCCCTGCCCATTATAACGACAAGGACAAGACAACTTAAGCTAAAGTCCCAGATCAACTTCAAGCACTGAGAATGCAGCTGAGTGGTGGAGACGGAAAAGCGCAGGAGTCAGGAAGCGTGAGTTCCGGTCCCACTTCTGCAAACTTGAGCGTGTCCCTTCATCTCTTTGAGCCAGTTTCCTCATCTATAAAATGAGAATCATTTTATCCATGACCTCAGGCAAGCCTCTAGAGTGTATAAGGTTCTCTATCCTATAATTCCACATAACCTCTCAATAAAATCATAAATATCAGCCCCAGAATGGGAGTTTGCCTTCCGGGTTATTCTTCCAGAGACAGAAGGTCAGGGCCGTTAAGACCATCCACGTAAGAACCCAACAAGCGTGCAGCAGCAGCTGAGGAGCCTTTCGATGCTCAGCAGCCCTGAAAGGTCTTTTCACACCCAAAAAGGCATGACGAGACTATAAGCAGCAATCTCTTACCCACAAAGTCCACTGCAGGCCAGACACGAGTAGTCAAGAACACCAGCCAGCTGTCTCCACCAAAATCTCCATCAATCCTCACCCATGTCCTGCCCACTGACCCTCTCAGACATATCATTATTTGCCGTTGATTCTATTACAGTAGCCTGGGAACAAGAGACCTGGGGACCTGACTCCTAGCCTAGTTCCAGGGTTTAGATTCCACGGTGTTTATTCTCCCTGCTTATCTGGAAATCTGCTTACCTCCAGAGCAGCCTCAACCCTGGACTGAAGAAGCTCCAGAAGCAGTTCTATTGTAAACTCACAAGTATATCCCACTCTTTGTGCAGAGACTGCCTTTGTGGTACCTTCTTTTCACGACCATTACCAAAATGTTAGCAGCCTAGCTGTAGGTCCTAGCTCTGCTACCATCTAACCAAGTGTCTTTGGGAAAATCATATAACCTCTCTGGGTCTGCCTCTTCATCTATAAACCAAGGGAGTTGGACTAGATGGTAGAAGCTCTTTTTCAAATGTAGCAGTCTATGTCTCTGATTCTCATTGAGAAAGAACCAAAAACACAGTACTTAAACTTGGCCGTGTAAGGCAGCATGCATATTGGTCGAGTCTACCTCTGGAGAGTTCCCAATGACTATGCTTGATCAGTAGGTCACCGAGATTACAAGGGACACTCTAGCAATATAACGGGCTACGCGTACCTTTCCTGCATCCACCAGTTGTGCAATGTCATCCAGATATGGACCACTGGCCATGAAAAAGGCCCAGCGATAATGGACTCCTTGCCAGAAATGCTAAAAAGAAAACAAAACATGTCAAATATAGGAAGGGATGAAATGCTACTAAATGCAAATTTAGGGAAAAGTATTTTCAGGCTGACTAAGACAGACAAACCAATTTCCCATTTCATGCTGACACCAGGAGCTGTACGCCCAGCACCTTAGCACAGTGACAGATAGCTGATGCTCCACAAATGTTTAACAAATAAATGAATGAACAAAGATATATCCACGTGAACTCAGGCTTCTTCACCAAGTCGTGCCTGACAAGCAAGTAAGCACAGGAAAGCTCTCCTTAAAATGATAGTCTAAATCATCTTACATGCTCAATTTCTTCTCTAGGAGAAATTAGGGGCTGAGACCTCTAGCCTTTCTCTATTAAGGTTTGAATAAAGCCCAGAGGCACTAGAAAAAAGCTTTTTACCTAATTCAAAAATGCCTTAGGGGCAATAAGGCACCAAAATATGATCTTAGACAAGAAATCCAATCATGAGTTTTTTTGTGGCTCTGAGAGGAATAAGACAGCTTTAAAAGCAAAACAAAGTGTCAAGTTCCTCATGCATCATGGCTGGGTCTTCCCCTACAGTTACAGCAAGCCCCAAGCCACCTAATCTATTATGGGACAAAATGTCCCCGGACGAAGATAAGCAAAAATCCTACACCAAGAGGGCTCATGACCATTTTCCTGCCATACCCACTCTTAATTGTTATTCTTTATGTCAGATGTAGAGTAGGCCATTATCAAAGTAACAAGTGAGCTGAGGGTCTCCATGACACCTCAATGACCTGCCCAACTATACTTCATCAGATGGGAGATACCCATAGGTGGCACAGGGTCAGCTAGCACCATCCCTGAACCTGCCCATGACTGCTGGGTGAACTTGGACTTCTTTCCACCGAGATCACCCTCTGTCTCACGATCCTTCGGCATGAAAACAAGCTACCACCATGGCATGAAGCTGGCAAGTGCAATGCACCTCCCCAGCTACTCTAGCTCAGGCACACGCACTTCATGGTTGTGTTATTTAGGTCAAGCTACCTCTTTCAGCCTGTTTCCTGGCTGAAAACCAGGTAGAATGATGATACCACCACTTAGCACCACAGGGTTGTTGGAAGGATTACATGAGAATGTATGTAAAGTATCTGATATGCACAGAGTATTCAATAAATATTTATCTAGTGCTGAAAGTAAAGCTTATTGAGGAAAGACTGGGGCAATACCAAATCAGAATTTAAGATTGTAGAAAGAAAGACAAAACCAGGCTGTTGTCTAGGCAGAGCTTTGCTGGGGGTGTGCCAGGAATGGCTTACTGGTTTGGCTGAGTCACCCTATAGTTTATTGTCTAACCTGGAAAACTGTGAGAGTTAAAGGAGTCACCATTAATAATTATCCCAGGACCACAGATGCAAATAGAGCTAAGCTTACCCTAGAATAGATGTGACCAGACATTGATTCCCCTCAGCCCTTGGGTGGTGAGGCAGAGCCTGGGCTGGCAGAAGTCCCCAGGGAGTCTGCTCTTGGCCCAGAGCAGCCTCAATACTATTCAAATACTATCATTTTCTATGTGTGTCATAACGTGAAAGAGGATGGGAAACACTGGCCTAGGCAACTAACTTAAAAAAGAAAAGGAAAGAAAAAAATACTGTTTCAAGGCCTATGTACCTAGATACCAGAAGCACTGAGATTGTCCCAAGCTTACAGGGGGCCCAGTTAGTTACAATCACAGAACTCCTGTTCATGTACTTTTCCCTAAGATCTGGCCTTACAGACTACAATTAAAACATTCTGGTAATTGTTTAGGTTTTTTTTTTTTTTTTAAGGAAGATTGGCCCTGCCCTAACATCTGTTACCAATCTTCCTCTTTTTTTTCTTTTTCTTTTTTCTCTCCAAAGCCCCAGTACATACTTGTGTATCATAGTTGTAGAGTTGTAGCTCTTCTATATGGCACGTCACCTCAGCACGGCCTGATGAGCGGTAAATAGGTCTATGCCCAGGATCCGAACCGGCAAAGCCCAGGCCACCAAAGCGGATCGCGTGAACTTAACCGCTGCGCCACCCGGCTGGCCCCCCTTTAGGGTTTTAAAGAAGGAACAGCAATGTTCATAACTGCCACGTCTATAATTCTTTACAGCAGGGTGCCCTGTAAAGTGAAACTTTTGCTCTGCAACAGCAGAATTCTTACATTCTGCTCTAAGGGTCTGTGTATTTTTTCCAGGCCATTGCAGGAGAGAGAGTGAACCAAAGCAGGCAGGAGAGTCTGGAGCATTACAATGAGGCTTTAACTGTGCACAGTCTCAGAAGGACATCAGAAACTACTTAAAAGGTTTTCACATGAGATTACCACTATCATCTTTCAAGGAGGGGGAAAGAGAAAATGAAGAGAGTTAGGCCTGTTTCACTCTCGGAGGACAGCTCTGAAGGTGAACTTGTAAGAGGTCTCACTGGAGTACAAACTGTGAAATCTTACAGAAAACTTAAACTTATATTTTAAAGCACTTAGAAAGCCTGGGTTTTGAGAAAAGGGAGAGAAGAGACAAAGGACAGCTAAGATTCCTTTCTCCGCCACAAAGCGCCCTGTGGACACTGTTTCTGGCTGCCGTCTGAATTGAGTGAAGATAAAGAACCCCGAGTACAGTGCCCGGTTTGTTCATCTGTTACCCACACACAGTTCCTAAGAATAGAGTAGTCCTCCTCCATCATAGCTCTTCTTGACTGCTTCTAAGTATTGAGTTAGCACACAGAATTCGAGAGGCCAAATTCCTAAATTTCACCTCCAAAAAGGTCCCAAATTAACTTCTAGAATAAAGAAGAAGCTAAAGACAATTATCAAGCCAGTCATCTCACAAATATGGATTAGTGTTTGCTGGCTCGACACAGCTACTCACAACTATTGCACCACTGAGGAAACTTCTACTGCAGAAACTCCCAGAATGCCACCAATAGCTAGAGTCTCTGATTCACATGGAATGTGCAGTGTTAGGACAAGTTGATACAATTCCAGAAAAGGCATAATGGTTCTATTAGTCTTTGTAGCCTCACTGAAGTAAGAACATAATTTTCCTCAGGTTTCTGAAATTCAGAAAATGCCCACAGACTCCTAAAGGTCTGACAGCCCCAGTGTGGGGATCACTGGCACATCCCAATGCCACTACCATGAAAAGAGCCAGCTGTACACTTGTTTTAGTCGAGTTTCCACCTTTCTATATGAGAGCCTGTATGTGTTGAGACTGGCAAAACAGGGAGAGGGCCGTCAGGTATAGGCAAGAAGGAAGCAGAAGGTGTATCAGAGGGTAACATCAGGCACTGTGCCAAGTTCTTCACATGGATTATCTCATTTACTCCTTACAACATGCAGTAAGGTAGATACACTATTAGTCTCATTTTACAGGTAAAGACATCGGGACTTAGAGACATTAAGTAACTTACATGGTGTCACAAAGCGACTAAGTGGAGGCCAGAATTTGAACCCCGTCAGTGTGTGACTTCAGAGCCCACGCTTGCAGCCTCTGTGCTATGCTGCCTCCAAGAGAAACGAAACTGGCTAGGTGGAAATCAACTTCCAGAAGCATGAGGTGCCTGCTTGCTCTCACCAGCCAAGACCCTCCTCCCTACCTTTAACGTCTTAGAGCCCACGGTGACACCTGTCTGCAACATGCCGTCTGCTATGCCCAATCGGTCCATGTTCAGGAGGAAAGGAGTCACCAATGTCACATATGTGGCTCCTGACCATTTCTTGAGAAAATTTGGAGCCCACGATTCGGTGGATCCACCAACATTATCAAGGATAAAATCAAACCTGGAGAGAAAGAATCAAATCAAAACATCCTCGTCAGTCTTTACCCAGGGCTCCAATCCCCCATCACTCCCATTGCCAGTTGGCTATAGGGTTTATTTCAGAGACAGCTGACAAACTGCGCTGCACCACTGCATCCAGCAGAGGGGTGGTTTTTTTGACAAAGGAGAAAAGGGCACTGGATCTCTGGCTTTTCTCCAAGGTAAGTCAAATGTAACTACTTTTTTTTGTCATAAAATCTGATCATTTTCTAAAACTTTAAGAATGTGCTTCTCCACCAAAGGTGATTTTGGCCCCCAGGGGACATATTAGGCAATGTCTAGAGACATTTTTAGTTGTTGCAATTGGGGGAGGTGGTGAGAAGGCACTTCTGGCATCAAGAGGCCAGGGATGACGATAAACATCCTACAATGCACAGAACAGCCCCCCCTGAATAATAAAAAATTATTCAGCCCAAAACGTCAATAGTTGAGCAACTAAGGTTGCCAAGGTTGAGAAACCCTGACTCAATCTTTATAGAAAACTGCGAAGCCATCCACCCAATGTAAGTCAAAGTATTTTTTAGTGCACACGAATACTTGAAAAGTATGTAAGGTTTTCACCCACAAGAATGATTTGCTTTTATTCCCTCCACAGTCCCTCTCACTGCTTGCAGAAGCATCCTCTTCGCCTTCCAAAATTTTCTTCTATTTTTTGGTTTCAGGCACAGCATCAGGACAATGCATAAAGAAATCAACAGCCTGCTCTCAGTCCTCAATTCTGCTCTAACATGCCCCCAAAATCCAGTCATAATGGAATCCACAGGAACTGACAGATACTCAACTCCTTAAATCTAATCTAAAACTGCTATAAGCGCTACATTTTACTTAAAGGGGATAAAACCCAATAAAGCTTTTAAATACTTTTGAAAACAAAGATCTATTTAGAGAATGCATGCTTATAAATTAAGCAAATTAATAGATGAATTCCTTTTTGGTAAATCCTGTTCCCCGTCTAAATTCATCTGGATGAAGTCAAACATCCAAGCTTCTAAAACCAGCTTTGGGCAACTCTGTGGATCTTGAGTCTTTCATGGGACTAAACTAAAGAAGAGCAAATAAAAATGGAAGGATATAAGTGCAGGAGAACGACCTTACTAGATGACTATTCTTCTCATTAGAAAAAAAAGAAGAAAATTCTTTTTATGAGTTTAAGTTTCTACTTTTAAGCTTCTACTTCATTTCCAAATTTTTAATAAACATAATGATACTTAATTTAAATAAAACTTAAGGACAGCCTGGTATTACAGAACAGGAACTGCCTCAAAAAGAAGTCTGGAGACCAGGTGTAGACCCAGCTCTCCCACTAATGATTAAGCGGCATAATCTTGAGCATGCAAAAACTCATAAATCCTCTGCCCCATTTTTCTCAACTATAATGTGATAGAGTTGGACTGAAGGATTTCAAAGCCCTTTCCTGCTATAAAATTCTAAGATTCAAATCTAAAAAGTTACTATTTGGAAGGAGGAACAAATTTATTCTAGGTGGAGTCAGAGGCCAAACTCCAGGCAGAAGTTATAAAGATCAATCTTAACTAAAGCTGTCAAAAAAAAAAAAAAATAAGTAATAGCCTGCACCTGTAGGCGAGGGCGGTTCCCTCCCCACCCCTCACTGGACAACAACAAGCGAAAGGAGAAGACCAGTCACCAGAGACGCAGAAGGGCAAAGTCTAGTGTAGATTTGGGAGCTAGACTGAGTGTGCTCCAGCCTTCCATCTGTTAGATTCTCTGTTCTCTGGTGACAAATTCCAGACATGTATAAAGCTTAAGGTAGGTAGAGGGGAATGGGTTGGCCTGGGCCTCAGTCTCAGGCTGCTATTCCTAGAAGCAGCAGAAGAGATGAGATCAACCGAAACTACCACTATCTAGAAGCCAGATCTTGGAGGCCCAGAGAGGCCTAGGCCCGGACACACATGCAGGAGGGTAGCTGACAAGATCTCTGCAAGGGACAGTGTCATCCCTCAAACATGCCAAGCCTATTCCTGCCACAGGGGCTTTATATTTGCTGTTAACTCCCCTGGAACAGTGCTCTTCTCCTAGATTCACTCAATAATTCATTGAACAAGTATTTATTGAGCACCTACTACATGTTATTATACTGTTCCTGGTGGAGGGAGACAGCAAGACTGAAGACCCCCCCAAAAAAAATTCCATTCTCCTGGCTTGCTCTCAGAAGCCTCTGTTCAAATGCCCCTGTGGCATTCTTATACCACCCCGTCTAAAACAGCCTCCTCCCGATCATTTGTTGTCCCCTTTCCCTGCATCAGTGTTCTTGAGAGTGCTTACACTGAAACCTCCCAACTAGAACATAAGCCCATGAAAGGGGGAATCTGTCCTGTTTACCACTGTATCTGCATCCTGTGTTTAGAACACTGCCCAGCAGCATTGATGCACCATAAATAGTTGAAGGAATACTGAGTCGGCTGGCTGCCCCTGGCTTCACAGCTATACTCCTGCTGGGAGCTGGGGATGCTGGCTGAGAAAGGTTAGGCAGTGTCAGATAGGGGCTTCTTTTTTTTTTTCCTCTTTTTTTGGGGGGGAAAGACAAATGTTTATCGGTACATATGTACTAAAAAATATGCACTTCCTCTTTTTTTTTACCCCGTGAAAATATATTTCTACTCAAAGTGGGCAAGAATAACTAGCTCCTGAAAACTAATTTAAAAAAAGGAAAAACCTTTGAAAAAGTAGAACAGCTTTCCAAATACTCCTCAGTTGCGCTCTCCACTTCAGCTGTGTCTTGGCTAGATGAAGACCAGATTAATCAGCACCCCCACTCTGTCGGCCCAAACATAGTCAGGATCAACAGGGCCTGAGAGAATTCCGGAGCCTGCTCCTGTTTGGTACGTTAGGCCAAACCACGGCCTGGCATTCAGATGCACTGAGAACATCCACAAGCTCCCATTACCAATATTATACTGCCTGTGTGTCTCTGAAGCTCCTTATTAAGCCCAAACACTGAAAGCATGTTCGGTGCTAAGCATGTATTTTCATGCACGGCTCTATGTTCTTCCTGTGGTGACAGATGCCACTGAAGAAAACACACTTCCAATTTTGCCTTCACACCTCTTACGAAGAGGCAATAAAAGTAAGTTAACTTAAAAATCAGCAAAAGACCATGTAAGGAAAATATTTTCCTCAGTCCATATCCCATTATATGACTGTGCTGTATTAACATCTGGAAGTAAAACAGAAACCAATTTAAATGACTTCTAATGACATGGCATGTGCTCACAGACTCTTCCCTAAGGTTCCAACCAGACTGTGAGGCCGCCACACCATCTCAGGCTTGCATTATCAACTGTCCTCGTTCCCACTTCCCCACGGGGACGCTGCTGGAATACATACGGTGTTAAAGATTTCAACCGCTCTTCCACAGTTCCAGATTTGTAATCAATTACATCATCTGCCCCAAGCTTCCTTACAAGTTCACTGGCATCCTGAGAGCAAACCGCTGTCACATGAGCATCCCATGCTTTCATTACCTGCCAAAAAAAAAAGGAGAGGGAAAGTGGAAAAAGTGACTGCATTTTTTTTAAAATAGTTGGCACCATGTGTACCTATATCAGCCTAATCTCTAGAGAACTCTAAGTGCCTTGTCTTAGCAGGAACTCCAGGGAGCCATCTGTCAGAGACTAGAAAAAGTGATTAAACCTTTGTTTACTAAGAAAATTCCAAGACATAGATCTCATTTTCCCTGGAAGAGATACCTAGTCACCTTGTTGTCATGAAGTTATAACCAGTCTACTCTGGAAAGGGCTCCACGCCTCACCAGCATTAGAAAAGACAGGAGTGGATGCCTCAAGTTTAGTGCTTTCAATGATGACAAGGGTAAATAGCGAAAAAAAAAAAAACAAATATGTCCTCGGAAAATGACTATTTAAAATGACTCCAGAACATAAAAATGCAACATCTCTTCATTTGCATCTTGAATAAGCATTAATACAGTCTTGAGTCAAATAGCTGTATCAGGGCCGGCCCCGTGGCTTGGCGGTTAAGTGTGCGCGCTCCGCTGCTGGCGGCCCGGGTTCGGATCCCAGGCGCGCACAGACGCGCTGCTTCTCCGGCCATGCTGAGGCCACGTCCCACATACAGCAACTAGAAGGATGTGCAACTATGACATACAACTATCTACTGGGGCTTTGGGGGGGAAAAAAAAAAAAATAGCTGTATCAAAGCAACCAGCTAACAGGTATTAGGTAATAAATGAAAAGGTGCTCTTAAAAAAGATAGGGAAGAAAATACAGACATTTTATTTTCAAAACATGGATCAGGTCCTCTCCTTTGGTGTAAAAAGGCCTAAATGGTTTCCAGGATTTAAAATGCAGGTGCCTTATATTTTAAAATGATGAGGAATAACTAGACTTAAACAAAAAGAACTAAATTCTAACATTATTCAGGATTAAGTATCCTGAAAGCAGCCTGCTCCAAGATTGCTGTAATTCTTTTCTATAATGACAATTGCATAGAATTAAAAGGGGGCTATTATCAGCCTAATTTGAGAATAGTTACTTGAAGTTCCCCAAGAAATTTTCGTGTGGACAGTTATAGGTCATAACAGATCAGCTGTTTTCTCAAGCCTGTCCTGGGTATCAATCTCCTGCACTTCCTCAGTATAGGCTGCAAGGGCTCACTAGAATATAAAAGATCTGGGTTCGCTTCGTTCACTGGCGAATCCTCACTCTGTGGCACACATAGGTGCCAAATAAATATCTGTTAAATACAAAAAATAAAGGATTTTAAAACCATTCATGATCTTATCTAATTTCTCACTTTTAAAAAGTAATATTGACTAAGGGTTTATACACCCTGGAGATCTGAGAGGAATTAAAACATTTAGGAGTGGCATCATACACAATTTATTATGTTTATGGGCTCCAAACAGAGATACTTGAGTATAACACATTGCTTTCAACAGCAAGTCCCAACCTCAATTCAAATATGTGAAGACTATAATCCAAGATAAATATCCAATATCTATATTAAAAAGGAACCGTTGAGAAAAAAGGAAATAGTGTTCTCAGCACCTACATTTAATATGTATTTTCTTTAAACAGTATTAAATCCTGAGGAAGACTTTGTCACATGTTGAAACAGTTCAATGAATTTTTTTCCAAATTTCCAGTTTTTCCTTTCCCATTTAGAACCATCTAGTATCTTTGAACGCTACTAAAAGGTTTTAAAAACAGCTTTAGCAAAAGCAACTATGTAAAATAAAACACAAGTATAAAAAACATCTATAAGGCAGATAACCACTGAGAGGAAGCTGGCAGCCATTCCAAAAGCTCCTCCACCTGTCCTGTCCCAGAAGTCATCGTTATCCTGACATCTATACTAACCACCCCCCTGCATTTAAAAAAAATCATTTTGGGGCCAGCCCCATGGCCTAGTGGTTAAGTTCAGCACACTCCACTTTGGCGGCCTGGGTTCAGTTCCTGGGCACAGACCTACACCACTCGTCGGCAGCCAGGCTGTGGCGGCAACTCATATACAAAATAGAGGAAGATTAGTAACAGATGTTAGCTGAGGGCGAGTCTATCTCAGCAAAAAAAAAAAAAAATTGTTTTATCACCCAAATATGCATTCCCTAGACACTATAGTTTAGTCTCGTGCATTTTTAAAATACGTCTTTTAAGTCTCTTTTTAAACTACTATAGACTCTTCTTCCCTCCCTTCACTTTCTTGTTATTTATCTGTGAAAGAATCCAGGCCATTCGATCTGCAGTTTCCCAGTCTGGAATTTCTGATTGCAGAAGGGACCTCTTTTAAAAAAATATATCATCACAAACTCACAGATTTTCATACATTTGAAGGGTTTCGTACACTGCTGGTGGGAATGCAAACTGGTGCAGCCACTATGGAAAACAGTATGGAGATTTCTCAAAAAATTAAAAATAGAAATACCATATGATCCAGCTATTCCACTACTGGGTATTTATCTAAAGAACATGAAATCAATAATACAAAAAGATTTATGCACCCCTATGTTCACTGCAGTATTATTCACAATAGCCAAGATGTGGAAGCCATAAAAGAAGCCATACTCAGCCATAACAAAAGACAAAACCATCCCATTCACAACAACATGGATGGACCTTGAGGGTACTATGCTAAGCAAAATAAGTCAGACAGAGAAAGACAAATACCATATGACTTCACTCATATGTGGAAGATAAACACATAGGTAAAGAGAACAGATTAGTGGTTACCAGAGGAAAAGCGGGTGGGGGAGGGTGAAAGGGGTAAAGGGGCACATGTGTATGGTGACAGATAAAAACTAGACTATTGGTGGTGAACATGATGCAGTCTATACAGAAACTGAAATATAGTAATGTATACCTGAAATTTACACAATGTTAAAAGTCAATATGATCTCAATAAAAAAAATTCAAAATTAATAAATATATATATATATATTTGAGGAGTTTCAATCCATTTTAATTATCATTATTATTACTGAAGCTCAAATTTTCACATCTTTGGGAGTTTCTTCAAGTTGGCTCCTGAGTCTTTTTGACATGACTCAACTAGGCTTTGATAGTTTCCTTGCTATCTAATATATTCCAGGCTCATTCTTGTATATTTTGTGCCCTAGATCTGGAATCTGCCATTTCTCCAAGAAGCCCTGCATTCTTTTAGTGAGCAATGATATTACAAGAGATAGCTTTACATACACACATACACAAAGTACCTCTTGAGTTCATACTGATACCTCTAATTCAAATTCAAGACTACAAAGCTTTTACTTAACCTCTTTTCTGTTACATCTTTGTCTTTTCTTCCACACCTAAGATCCTGGTTGTCAAAGACACGGGATGACAGAATTAAAATATGCCATACATACTCATTTGTGCTACTATATATTATATACATAACAGTCTCTGAATAATAATACTAATATCACTACCAATATAATTATTGAAAGCATTAAAATAATTTTAACATATGCTCTCCCTATTTTCCCCCTCTTTTTAAAAATAGTTGTACTATATTTACCTTCTCAGAGCATATGGCTACACACACTACACTCATTTCTAAGCCCTCATTTAGTTTTAGTTCTACAGATAACTTTACATTTAACATTTACCACCAGTCCTTAATTCAATGTCTCTCTAGTCATTTTAGCTGTCAGAAGCTCATTCTCTAGCAGATTTCTCAGAAAGGGATCAGAAGAACATGTTCCCCAAGTTCTTGCATGTTATTAACTGTTCATGTGTGCCCTCTATACATGAAGGCCAGTTTTGCTGTATATAAAATTCTTAGCATATTCTTTCTCAAGTGTCTTAAATAGGTTACTCCATTTTTCCCCCGGCATTAAAGCTGCTGTCAAAAAGTCTGATGATAATCTAATTTTACTTCTAAGTCATGTGTTTTGTTTTATTTTGTTATTTTAGATGTCCCAAGGATTTTTTTTTTTTTCTTTTTCTTTAAAGGCCAGTAATTTTACTAGTTTTCCTTGATATTGCTCATTCTGGCTCCATATTCTTAGTTAGATAAGTGCTGTGATCATTTAATATGTAGTTTCAAATCATTTAATTTCAGGGAAGTAAGGAAGTTTCTTGAATTATAGATTTTAGTATTTGTTCTATTCCCTCGTTTTGGTCTTCCTCTTCAGAGACTCCTGTTCTCCATATACCAACCTTCTGACCTGTCTTCAATATTGGACACTTTCTCTTGAATCTGTTTGTGTCTCTTTCTTTCTTTCATAATTGAAAATTTTTCCAGTGTAGATGTTCTATTAGGGCAGCATTGTGGTGGTGTGTTTACTTGCTATTGAGTTCCTTCCAGTTTAATCTTCATTGCTAAAGGATATTTTTCACCTATTTTTACTTTTTTTCTGAGTTTTTCCAGTTCCAATTTTGTTCTTTCATGTCTTGTATCATATTTTTAATGTTTTTTAAACTTGTTTTGAAATTGTAGGTTACATTTTGATCTGTTTTGTGTGCATGTTTTCTGACGTATTTTCATTGTCTGTAGTTACGTTATTCTACTCTTTATTCTTATAACTTTGTATGGGATTTAACCTTGATACTTTTCTATTACTCAATTTTTTAATTTTATTAAAACATTTTTGTTGTGAAATATAACATACACAGAAAGTGCACAGAATATAAATGTACAACTTAATAAATTATTACTATTATAAGCAAATACTATTATAAGCATCACTCAAGTTTAAGAACTAAAATACTACCCATGCCCCTGAGCCTCCTCACCTGCCCCCACCCAGTCAAAACCCCCTCACTCCTTCAGAAGTAATAACCACTATCAGGACTTTTATATGACCTTTTCTGTTTTGTTTCTTAAGAGTTTTACTATCTAGGTAGGCATCCTTAAACACTATTGTTTAGTTTCACCTGTTCTGGAATGTCTTAGATTCACATAGGTCATATTCTTTTATATCTGACTTCTTTCACTAGCACTCTGCTTGTGAGATTCATCTACCTCATTGTGTGCAACTATAAATTGTTTTCATGACTATATAATATTCCAATGTAAGAATATACCACAATTTACTTATCCATTTTACTGCTGATGGACATCTGAGTTGTTTCCAGTTGGGGGATAATATCTGTAATTCTACTACATATCTTTTGGTGAACATGTGTGTATATCTATCTACAGGGTATATTCGTAAGAGTGGAACTGTTGGGTTGCAATTTATATTCAGATTTAGTAGATGGTACCAAATGATTTTCCTAAGTGGTGGTATCAGGTTAGACTCTAACCAGCAGGGTATGATCTTTCTCTTTTCCTCCCACTCTCCTTCTCTCTTTTCCTTTCTTTTCCTTTCTTCCATTTACTTATTCATTAACTCACATTTACTGACAGTCTCTGGACTAGGCCCTGGGTATTTGTCTTAGTCTGTTCAGGTTGCTATAACAAAATACCACAGACTGGGTGGCTTATAAACAACAGAAATAATGTCTCTCACAGTTCTGAAGGCTGGAAGTCCGAGATCGAGGTGCCAGCACAGTCGCCATTTATTGACAGCCCTCTTCCTGGTTTATAGCCAGCGCCTTCTGTCTCTGTCTTCACATGGTAGAAGGACTAGAGAGCTCTGCTGGGCCTCTTTATAAGGCCATTAATCTCATTTCACCTCCCAAAGGCCCCACTCCCTAATACCATCACATTGGGCATTAGGACCTCAACATATGAATTTTGGAGGGACACACACATTCAGTATCTAATGGTGAATTAAAAAGAAGTCAAGGTGCACATCTCCTAGGAGTCCTCTCCCCTCCCCCAATTCAGTGAGCAGATGAATGGGAAACTCCAGCACTGTCTGAGTCCTCAAAAGGTCTGAGGCAGGGTCTGGGGTGGAGCATTGCACCCAAATTCTCCCTCCTGGAAATCGATGTGGCAGAGCCTCTGTGTGTGCTCACTAGCCTCATATTGGGGAAAGGGGATCTCCCTTCATATTGAGAGAGAGTTAATCAAGCCCCCCCACCAAGGAGCCAGCCAGTTAAACATTCAACCACCACGGGAGCGGCCACTAGGTGCCATCCTGTTCCTGTAGGCTCGGGGCACTGTTTGCTTTGTTTGAGGTAAAATTCATGTAACATAAAATTCACCATTTTAATAATTTTAAAGTGTACGATTCAGTAACTTTTAGTACATTCACAATGTGCAACCATTATCACTAATTCCAGAACATTTTCCTCACCCCAAAAATCAACCCATGCCCATTAAGCTGTCATTCTCCATTCCCTCCTTCCCCTAGGCCCCAGCAACCACTAATCTGTTTTCTGTCTCTATGGATTTGCCTCTTCTGGACATGACATAAATGGAATCACATAAAATGTGACCTTTTGTGTCTGCCTTCTTTCACTTAGCATAATGTTTTAATTGATTAATTTATTTATTTTTTGTGAGGAAGATCAGCCCTGAGCTAACATCCATGCTAATCCTCCTCTTTTTGCTGAGGAAGACCGGCTCTCAGCTAACATCTATTGCCAATCCTCTTCCTCTTTTTTTTTTCCCCCAAAGCCCCAGTAGATAGTTGTATGTCATAGCTGCACATCCTTCTAGTTGCTGTATGTGGGACGTGGCTGCAGCATGGCCAGAGAAGTGTTGCGTCGGTGCGCACCTGGGATCCGACCCCAGGCCGCCAGTAACGGAGCGTGTGCACTTAACCGCTAAGCCACAGGGCCGGCCCAAGCATAATGTTTTGAAGGTTTATCCGTGTTGTACCATGCATCAGAACGTCATTCTTTTTCATGGCTGAATAGTATTCCATTGTGTGAATATACATCAGTTGTTTATCCATTCATCAGTTGATAGACATTAAGGTTGCTTCTGCTTTCTGGCTATTATGAATAATTGACACTGTTAGGCACATCTGTGTACAAATTTTTGTTCGAACATGTGTTTTCATTTCTCTTGGGTATATATCTAAGAACGGAATTGCTGAATCATATGGTAATTCTACGTTTAACATTTTAAGGAAGTGCCAAACTGTTTTCCACAGTAGCTACACCATTTCACATTCCCACTAGCAATATACAAGGGTTTCAATTTCTCTAATCCTTGCCAACATTGTTAGTTTCCATTTTCTGTTTTTTTTTTTATACCCATCCTAGTAGATGTAAAATGATATATCATTGTGGTTTTTTTTTTTTTTTTTTAAAGATTTTATTTATTTATTTTTCCCCCAAAGCCCCAGTACATAGTTGTCTGTCATAGCTGCACATCCTTCTAGTTGCTGTATGTGGGACGCGGCCTCAGCATGGCTGGAGGAGTGGTGCCTCGGTGCGCACCCGGGATCCGAACCCGGGCCGCCGGCAGCAGAGCGCACGCACTTAACCACCAAGCCACAGGGCCGGCCCGATCATTGTGGTTTTGATTTGCATTTCCCTAATGACTAATGATGTTGAACATCTGCCCATGGGCTTATTGGCCATTTGTATATCTTCTTTGAAGAAATGTCTATTCAAGTCCTTTGCTAATTTTTAAATTAGGTTGTTTGTCTTTCTGTTGTTGAGTTTAATAATTCTTTTCATATTCTGGATATTATACTCTTATTAGATAAATGATTTGCACATATTTCCTTGCATTCTGTGTGTTGTCCTGTTACTTGATATTTACTTTTACATTTTCTTGATAACTTCCTTTGATGCACAAAAGTTTTTAATTTTCATAAGGTCCAATTTATCTATTTTTTTGTTGTTGTTGCTTGTGCTTTTGATGTCATATCTAAGAATCTGTTGCCAAATCCAAGGTCACGAAGATTTACTCCTATGCTTTCTTCTAAGAGTTTTATGGTTTTAGTTCTTACAGTTAGATCTTTGACCCAGTTTGAGTTAGTTTTCATATACGACGTGAGGTAGGGGTCCAACTTCACTCTTTTGCACGTGGCTATCTAGTTGTCCCAGCACCATTCATTGAAAAGACTATTCTTTTCCCTATTTAATGGTCTTGCCACCCTAGTCAAAAATCAATTGACCGTAGATGTATGGGTTTATTTCTGGATGCTCAATTCTATTCCATTGATCTATATGTCTATCCTTATCCCAGTAGCACACTGTTTTGATTACCGTAGCTTTGTAGTAACTTTTAAAATCGAGAATTCCGAGTCCTCCAATTTTGTCCTTTTTCAAGATTGGCAATTTGGGGTCCCTTGCAATTCCACATGCATTTTAGGATCAGCTTGTCCATTTACGCTAAAAAAGGCAGCTGTCATTTTGATAGGATTGCATTGACTCTGTAGATCACTTTGGGGAAGTACTGCCATCTTTACAGTATTTTGGCTATTGCATTTCTATACACATTTTAGAATCAGCTTATCAATTTCTATCAAATTGCAAACTTCCATCTACCTGCACTGCCCATGGTCTTCCTCCCTAAAAGCTTTCCTACATTTGTTACACAAGACATCCACAAACTAACCCATATATCAAACCACTGAAAAGGTTAACGCTTCTTTCTACCTTAGAAAATTTCCTTCCAAGAGCAAGCTGAAATCATAGTGAATTTATTGAACCTAGCTTTCTCTCAGCTTTTAAGAAAAAATAATTTATAATGTGAATTTATAAATTCATGAAGATAATAATCTTCCTATTCACAAGATAAAGAAATTGTCTTACCTGTATAGCAAAAGTACCAACTCCTCCTGAAGCGCCCAAGATTAAAACACTACAATGCAAAAGAAACTACAATCAATGAAAATGTTAAGCCAATATAACTGGATAAACAAGCAAGATGTTTTCAACATGTAACTGGCTCAAACAGAATCCCAAAAGCAAATAAAGTCATTCACCATCCCAAGATTCTATTACACAAGGATTTTTATCTTAGGTTCATCAAGAAGCTATAAATGCTTAAAGTAAGACATTCTATGAACCCTTTGCCAAGAATACCAAATACTAAAAATACCAATAATTTGTATTTTTAAAAGTAGCTCAGATGGTTCTTGGTAACATCTGCATTACAATTTTTCTAGGCTAAAGTTACCACAGCTTTCTCTATGAGAGGGAGCTCTGGGATTTTTTTTAGTGTGTTCGAGTAGATTCAGTTGCTCTCTAAGAAAAATCACATTCCTAACCACATTCCAGACAAAGTGGGATAAACCATCTTTTGTTCAGACATGTCCCCCCGTCAAGCTCCTCAGTTTCATAAACGGAAATCAATCTTATAATCGATTTGGCTTCTGGGTAAAGCAGACCCATCGGCACAAACATCCTCATGCTCCAGGTTTTTGCCGGGTTTGCTCACTGGTGGTCCTCCTGACACTCCAGACCGAGGTGAGCAGCCTGGAGTTTATGGATGTGTGCGGGTGGGGGGATGAACTCTCCGAAATTGTGCATTAACTGAAAGAACATGCAAAATTTGGTGTGATTATGCACATTGTGCATCAGGGAGGAGAGGGATCCAGACCTATCATCAATTTCCCAAAGAAGTGTGGACCCAAAAGAGAATCACTAGACAAAAATCACTGCTTTACATACTCTTACATTTTATTCTTGAATTAAGCTAGAGCTCCAGCAAACTGCCTTCCTCGGACTGCAGAGTTTCAGGTCCTCAGAAAATTGTTTGTACTAAATTGCACTTTGGTGTTATGCTACTGATCTAGGCTGAGGGACATTATAAAAAGGGACTGCTTGATATTTGATACCACATTAGCTAAGGAGATACTGCTGAGAAGTCTTCATGAGAATTCTCTTTATGAGTGCCCACAGAAAAACATTTTTCTGAAGACTACGTGGTGGGAGTAGCTGTGCTATTTATCTGTCACTGCAAACTGCGTATCTGCTGGTTGTGGGTCCCTCTTTGACTCGGCTGCTACAGAGTGCAGAGAATTTTGTGACCTATTTCTGGCAAGTACACCAGATCCTGGAACATGCATCCTGTCCACAATCTTAACCCTAGTTTCATTTCACTTTTTTCTCTTACCCAAATCACAGGAGGCTGGGTGTCAGCCTTTAGATCTTAAGTTTCTAGTAAAATTTCTGAGCCAACAAGTTCTCTTTGAAATTAATAACATTAAATGTAATTAAAACAAGTCTCCTTATAAATTACGTTCCTTCTAGACGAGTTACTTTTAAATTTCACAGAATTATAAACTGTGAAGAACAGAAGAAACTTTAAAGATCAACTCCTCCAAAATCCTTCAATTCACACATTTAACAGCTTTGGTACTTCCTAAATGGGGAAAAAAGAATTAAAACTGCCTCACAGATACATCCAAAAATTAATTCATCCATGGAATATTCTACCCTCTTACTTTGGCCCATTCTTATAGAAATGTAACTAACTCAAACTCTCATTTAAGTCCGTCATAATCTACTCTTTATCTCAACTCTGGCTTCCTCTCACTATTTCCTGAACTCTCCACCTCAGCCACTGAGGTCCCCTCACTCTCACCCCCAAGTCCCACGCACGTTGGCCCATTCCTCAGACTCTCAAATTCCTTCACCAGCTGCTAAGGTCTCCCTTCCCTTGAAGGCTCAAGTCCCAGTTTTCCTGCTCTACACCCTTGAGACAGCCCCGAAGTGATGTCCATGCCATGCATTCCTCATTTGTCGCATTGTTAACCTTCATTCGTATGCTTGCTTCCCAGGCTATTCTGCAAGGCTTCAAGGACAGAGACCTCATATTACGCCCAGCACTGGGCATACTACCCTGGATGCAGCACATGCCTGATCAATGTTTCTTGACTTTAAAAATCATCTAAATCAGCACCATATCCCACAATTAAGGCAATAATTGCTACTATCCCAAATGAGGGAATTGCCTGCTATTTGAAAGACTGAATTAAAGTTTCTTCTAGTAAAGAAAAGCTTGAAACTATTTTCTAATTCTCTGAGAATCCTGGATTAAGAGGATACCAAATATAAGGGCTGCTTAAGGATCCAACTGCCAGACGCAACTCTGACCTCGTTATTGTCAGTTCATCGCTTCCCCATAACTCGAGCCAAAGCAGCCTCATTCCTCCAAATGAAAAAGCGAAAATGTGTTTCACAGCAGAGCTTGACAGAAGAGGGAGTGGTTCTGCAATAGCAGCTTCAGTTCCTGATGTTGCCACTTGATGGCGCCCCCAAGTGCAAAACAGGTGAGGAGCTGGCCCAATGATGGGCTACACACTGCTGGTCAGCTGGTCAAGAAGCCCTGGGGACACATCGTTCTCTGGTCCTGCAAACTCTGTTTTGTGCAGGTTCAGCCAGGAACCGTACTTCTCTTCGAACACAGAAAGTCCCAAAAAGGGACAGCAAGCAAAATGAATTTCGAGCCAGCAATAAATCGGTTGGTCCTCTATGGTTTGAAGTCCCACGGCTGAACTGACTGTTCTTGTTGTGTTCTTCAAAGCCCTTATAATACAAAGGAAAATACTGCTGTTGCTACCCCCGCGGCCCTTCAGTTAAGTGCTACACAGCGGGAATACTTTCTACCCAGCTTCCTATAACGGTCACACTAGATATTCAAACCTCGTTGAAGTAGAAGCCTGTGTGTTATACTGAAGAAAAGTGTGCTGTATTGTTTATTGGCTTATATGGAGCAAGTGCCCAGGAAATGCTCTATTTGCAAAAAGCACTCTAATTCAAAATTGCCACGATTTTTAGCCACATTCCTCTCTTACTTCCTAAGTCCACATACAGAGCTTCTTTTGAAGTCAGTGGGAATTGCACTGTGACAGATATAAAAATATGAGGGGAAGTATGAATAATTATTACACTGCTTATGCATCCTTAAACCCTAAAATCTAATTTCCTCTATCATTTCTCATCAATCTCTGAATTCTCCCTAAACACATGTTAAGGTACTAAAGCAATGTTGGCTTCTTTTCCATGACTGGGTCACTTTTTATTTAGCATTTGGGCACCTAAGCCCTCTACAATCACGTTTCTCAGTATTACAATCTTACGAGGCAAGGCATCAACATGCTAACTGCCTTACAGATAAAAAACAGATGAAACTACTACAAAACAGCAGGAGATCCAGAAGTAGGGAATCGTCTTTCAAATTTCTATATTCTGGCTTAGCCTCAGAAGTCTCTGAATGCCAAGGCTGGGAATCTAGAGACCTGGCTTCTAGTCCCAACTCTCTCACTAACTGAATCTCTAGGCCTCAGATTCATCACTTGTGAAATGATGATCACAGACGTGTACTCTAGGATTCAATGAAAAAGAAAGAATTGGCATTTTCAATCTAATTTAAACTTATACTTAGTTTCTCCATCTTTCTAACAGAGAAGTATATGACCTCCATGGTCCCCCCCAGACCACATACTCGTGGAGAAAAAAGCCACATCACAAGAGTAAAATGCCCTTTATTAAGTCCTAATGGCTCAGAAACAAAGATGATTTAAATGCGGCTAAATCTTCCATCAGTAGAAACAAACGGTCTTTAAAAAATAAGGACGCTGCTGAAAATGTATAATCTCAGTTTTCAGTTTCATACACTACTTTTAAATCTGGGGAAAAATAATGACTGAAGGATAGCAAAGTATATCACAATATGTTAAGTTTACTCCCTAAAGTGAGTGAGAAACTTAATCTGAATACAGTCATGTGCCACATAAGGATGTTTCGGTCAATGATGGACCACATATACGACAGTGGTCCCATAAGATTAGTACCATATAGCCTAGGTGAGTAGGCTATACCATCTAGGTTTGGTAAGTACACTCTATGATGTTCACACAATAATGAAACCACCTAATGACACATTTCTCAGAACATATCCTCATTGTTAAGCAACACATGACTGTAAGTGGAATAGAGCTACAAAACAAATCAACCAAACATGAACAAGACAGCCTGGATCTGTGTGTCCCCTTCTTCTAAGTCTCTGTAATTCTTATAGACATTCCCCCATTGACAGGCGAGTTCATGTGTGAATTAGGTGTTTGGAACTTTAACACATTTTCCCATGAAAACAAAGCTATTTATACATCTCAGCAAGGTGCCAGGGTAGCCACTGAAAAAGGTTTAGTTAACCCATAATCGACCAAGAACGTCATACACAGTATAACAATGGTTCTGTGGGGTCACTGCTTCCTTCAATACGCTGCAGAACAGAGGGAAGGAAGGATGACTGAGGGAAGGATCCTTTATGATGGAAACAATAGGATGGATGAGAGATAGAAGTAGCATGGTCAGACGAGGATTTACCATGGAGCTGATGGGGTTCAGGACACGCTACCCCAAAATATGGCACCTTGGCACTTTGAATATCTTAAGCTGAAGGATTTGAGAAACGGCATGTGCAGGAAGAACTCTGACCTTCTTCCCTGAAGCTGGTCATAAGACCATCGTGTGAGAGGTGCCCTCCCTATACCTGGAGGAAAGAAGCATCCTTAATTCCAAGATGGAGGGTCACAGAGAGGAATCAGAATGCACAGGCCTTGCTAAGGTTCCCCACTTTATTATACTTAGCTCATACCCTTTGTCCTCTCATATATTTTCACGACTCACCACTCTTCACCAATCACAGCAAAAAAACGCTCAGGTTTAACCACATCTTGGGGTCTTCATTTCCTTATGAAGGCTCCCATATTGCGTAAAACTTGTAATAAATAAATTTGTGTACTTTTCTCTTGTTAATCTGTCTTTTGTTTCAGGGGTTCCAGTCAAGCACTTAGAAGAGCATAGGAAAAAGATATTTTTCCTCCTGTACAGAGCCAATGAAGCTTAAGC